GACATGACCTCACGCTTATCATCCTCCACTGGTTCTCCACCAGCGTATACCATTACCACAGACGAGAGCGCCATTCTATTATCATCCCTAAAAAAACAAGTATACAATATCTCGCCCTTAAAACCACAGCTTATACAAGCTGCTTTATCGCTGCATGCAGCATATTGTTTAGGTGGCACCATTCGACTACTGTCCGACTGAGGCCCTCAGATCGATGCGGTAACCTTGGATAAACTCCGTGGGTGCCGCTGGGCCGAGTCGTAACATAATCGGCACCAGGAAATGAACTTATACACGAACACTCAGCAACGTGATACAATATTAAAATACAATTTGTCCCGACTGATGATCAACACACAGTCTAAACCACTACGGTTAGAAAGGCAAAAGATGAAATACTAGCTGCACCCGCGGTTTCACACGCGTCAAATTTATAGCCTATACGTTATTCTGATGTACAAGATGCCTATATTACTATAAAGTTTCATCAAAATCCGTTCAGTAGTTTTTGCGTGAAAGAGTAACAAACATCAATAAATACTCACAAACTTCACCTGTTTGTATTATTAATACAAATATATATATTTTTAATAGAAATATATATATTATTAATTGAAAGAGGTAAACTAAAAAATTAAAATACACTTATATAGTAATGGATATAGAAGAGCGGAATGTAATGTAAAAAAACTCATAATTCAGACAAAGCCGACGATAACAGCTAGTGTTGCGTAACTCCCATAAGCCTATATGACATAGCCTTGTCAATTTATTACCATGCACAGCACACGCTAGCTATATTGAGAATTTCCTGTAATAGGTACCCATTCACCAATAGCATGTCGACTATGTTTGAAGGTCTCGGTGATCTAGCGGTCTAGCATACTGCCATACTTTCGCTGGTCGCAGGTTCGATTCCTCGGACGGTACAAGCATTTATATTCGTGAGTGTAATTGTTTGCATTGTGTCTGGGTGTTTTTTATATATATTACTTATGTGTATACAAAAAAAAACATATCTATATATTTATACCAGTTGTCTAGTACCCATAGTACAACCTCTGCTTAGCTTGGGACTAGATGGCGCTGTGGAAACTGTCCAGAGATATCAAGATATCATATACATATAGAACAACGTTGAAGTGAAAGTGGATCCTATCCTACATTACAGACTAGCTATTATCCGCGACTTACGTCTGCTTTTCTGTTTAATAAAAAATAAACAATATTTGTCATCATGATAGTCTATTATATCACATAATATTTCATCAATTTCTCTTCAGACGTTTAGTTGTAAAAAGGTAATAAGCAGACAGACAGACATACTGTCGCATTTGTAATATTAGAAATAACGTTTCAATTAACGCAAATAAAAGTTTTATCTCTCTAGAAAGAAAGTAGGAATATATATGAAAACAGTTCATATTATAACTACAATCAACTTCAAGAGCCAATAATTTATAGAAAGATGCAGGTAATTTTATAACTTCCTGGCTAATTTTAAAAATTTTAGAATGGTAGGCACTGTCAATGGTAACTGGTACCTTTTTTGTATGATTTCGCCAAATACAAAAGCCGTGATGCGTCTGTCGGGGTATATGGCTCGCCGTATATGGATATCACAACAATTCAAGGCCAGTATGCTGTACGATATACAGTTCTATACAATGTCAGTACCTCGGTATTGACATCGTACAATATAGAACTTAAAATTAAAACAATTACTCATTCTTGATAGATAGATATATAGAATATACTTTATTTGCAACATACAGTAAAGAAGCACAAACACAAAAAAAAACACAAAGGACAAATGTATAGTTACAATAAGGCGGCCTTATTGCTAAAAGCAATCTTGCTTGTATTAATAACGACCTCGGTGGTCTAGCGGTCTAGCACATCGCTTTACGTCCGATGGTCGCGGGTTTGATTCTCGGACGGCACAAACATTTGATTCATGAGTATGATTGTTTGTATCGGGTGTTTTCTTATGTACATTCTGTAAGTATTTACGATAAAACAATATCTAAATATGTATTTGTATTAGTTATCTAGTACCCATAACACAAGCTTTGGCTAGCTTAACTTGGGTGTGAATTGTCCTGAGACTATTATTACTATTATAAGACAACTATTTATTTGTATTTGGGAAGGGTTCCCATGCACAACAGCCTGAGGAGGCTGATTGCGGAAAATGGAGTCCAAAATTTTTGTTTCTCTTTTGCCTATATACATGAATAGCACCATGGACATCATATCATCATCTGTGATACCAATCAAGCAATGCAAATAAGGAGGACTAAGATGTCATGCCTTATATGAAATAAAAAAAATAAGGAAAAACTTAGGAATTGTGTCATATCATCAACTAAACAGATTTGTAGTAGATTGTGGAAGGTGGCGAGAACTCCACCGACAAGAGCACAGCTCTTAAATTATGAATAAATGAACAACTGAAATGTAGATTACAGAGCAAACTGCTTGGTTACTTGAGTGCTTTTTCATCCTACAACCTAAACACAGCTTACAAAACAAGCTCCTTGGAATCTAAAAAGATACTTTTGCAGACATCTTTTTATAGTCTATGTACTTAATTATAATTATTGTATTGTCATTGTAGACAAACATTATAAACAAAATAAGTTAAATATGTAGAAAATATAATTAAAGGCAGTAAATAACAAGATGGCTTTGAGCAGAGATGAATGGAAGAGAAAAACATATTATGCCGACCACAAATAAATGAGATAAGGAAGAAGCAGATGATGATATAGAAAATTAAATTTTAGGTGAGAACTATTAAAAAAGCCATTCCATTACTGGCTTTTTTTATTAGTTTTTGTCAAATTAGAATTATGAACATGCTTGTACTGACTATCCAGTATGTAGCATATAATCTGTGCTAACAGTTTCACTTTCATAAAATTTATAGCCTGTGTGTTATTCTGATGTATAAGCTATACTACTGTTAAGTTTCAACAAAAGTAGTTTCTGTGTGAAAGATTAACAAGCATCCATCCAGCTATCCATACTCACAGATATTTGTGTTTATAATACTAGTACTAGTAAGATACATAGTATCTTAAATATAGAAGATAAATTCAAGAATAGGTCAGTATCTTCTATGAACAGGTGTGTCTACCTACCTGTGTCATCAGATGACTCTTACATGAATCATCATCATGCTATGGAGAAATTTACACCAAAAACCAAAATAACTAATGACCTCGTTCATCAACACTTCAAGAAAATACTTTTAGCATACAAACACGTCATCTATTTAACCAGCAAATTAACCAGCATATTCTTACCTAATAAATTCAGAGAGAAATTATTTGATGTATTGATTTAAAAAGAAGAAGGTATGTTACACCTTTTAAGAGATTTTTCTTTAACTTGCATATAATGTAAATTAGATGTAATTAAAGTAAATTATAGTGCCAACAATTCCAACCAATAATTCCATTACTAATGTGTTTAAAACTACTAAACAGATTTTAATATTTCTTACAAATACACATATTTTTTTAATATGAGTATATTATATATAATAAAGTTATTCTCATAATTATATTGTAAATATTAAAATAAGATGAAATTTGTAACTGACTTATTGATCATTCTATATCTATAAATATAATTAAATAAATTTTATACATTCCTAATCTTTCAGGAAATTAAATTAGGATAAATAGGAGTATCATCAACATAGAAAAGTAATACAGTTATTGAAATAATAAGATACTAAAAATATTCTCTCATCTCCATAATACTTATGACTTTCCCACAAAAGTCTACTTAGTAGCAGAACAACGATTCTCTTAAATATATTTTAAGTAATTTATTTATAGTGTGGTGACATATTTTCATGATATATTACACTGCTGACAAGGAAGTAAACAATAATTAGTATGCAACTGCCATTGACTTAAAATTTTGTATACTTTGATTGGATTTTAAACCACAGGGACAATATTATTTAATTTCTGAAATACAGAAACAATTTTATTTGTTTTATTTATTAGAAATTGTGTTTGAAATCTTTAATTATTATCTTATACAATTTTTACTAGTAATAGATTCTTGATTAATTTATTACTAGTAAAACTTACTATTATTATAAAAATATTGTTCCAACAGAAAAGAATGCAACCTGCCCTTAAGAAATCTCATTAGACAATGTGTTAAAAGGACAAAAAGCTTTACTGCTTGGTAACCTTCAACATGCTTCACAATATTATAGGTTGGTTTTATAGTGCTAAGATATTTCATTCTGCAAGTACTTTTGATTAAGTGTCTTTATGACACATTTCAATAAACCCCCATAGAATCTGGTGTGAAGAAAGAAATATTAATCACCAGTGAACAATGTTAAATAATAAAATTGTTACAATTGATTGTGTACTTCTGTATATTATTATTTCTATATGTATATCACTTATATTTATACAGCTATGTTAGTGAAGACATGTTGAGATTGTTTACTAAATAGAGCCCTTCTTACAGTATAGAATAGAACAGAATGAATGACACAGTCATACAAATTCAAGTTCAAACATAACCAAGTGTCTCACACAAAGAAATCTATTTACATATCTTTATTCTACTAGTCAATTAGAACTTTGTACATTTTTTTGAAACAAAGTACCAACTGATATTTTATTACCTCATTACATATAAATGTAATATTTAAAAATTATGGAAATTTTAGTCACAACTAAATCCATTACTACCTACTTTCACTTTTATTCATCGGATGTTGTGATTCGAATATAGACTTGTCGTGCAGATAACACACAAAAAGAGAAGTCATATTTCGTAGCTTACTCATAGATTTGATACCTACGTGGAATGTGGAAAGAATATGGTAAATCAGAGGATGAAGCGAAGAAATACAAATTGAAATTACGAGATTGTAACCGATTACTAAAACAAATATAAGAAGTTTCCTATACGAAAATGGAACTCAACCATGGGAGATCAAGCATGATCGTACTCACCATCTGTTCTTTTTATGTTGATGTTAATTCCAGACTGGATCTTCACAGTACCGTCATCCATTTTTACACAGGTTTATGCACCACATACACTATAGAACATTATTTCGCTATCCGCGTTTAATTAATAATAGTCTAACACATTAGGAAATTACACATAAAAACCGGTGAAAATTACAAAATAAATTTCTACACCCAGATTGACAGTTATATCGAGCTAGCGGTCACACTTCAGACTGGAACGTTTGAAATTTGTTTCACTACTACAGTCAAATCAATTACTATACTTTCTAAAAAAATAATTAATACATATGATATGATTATTATGGGATTTAACAGATGTACGAAGAGGAAAACCAAAAATCTTTTAAATAATTTCGGTTATAAAGACGAAATTACAAAATATTAGGAACACTGTGTTGAAAATTTTTGTGTAATATTGCCAGTATAATATTTTTTTCTAGTCTCATTCCACCATTTCCACCACAGAATAAAAAGTACTTTAAAAATCGACGATTGTTGAATAACTATCAAAATGTAAAGCAGTAAATACTATATTATTTTAAAATATTACTGTATTAAAATCATAAGTGCCCTGCAATATCGCAACTTAATATATGACTCATCATCAAAGTTACAAGTACATATGTAATCGATCGATTTTAACAACTAACCATAGACAAGATTAATTTGTTTCATGTCAATATCGCTTGACAGCTGTATGTGGCAACAATAATACCTACTCTATCCAGTTTACCTAATCTGTGTCTTTCAGAAAAAAAGTGAAATAAAATGGCATTAGACTTCTAAGGTAGGGCTGACTTTCTGTCGAATTGTCAATATATAAATCTATTGAACTTAATTCCTTTTGTTTTTCTAGAAAAAAATTAAACCTATAGAAATGCACAGCGAACATAAAATATCGCATAAAGCAAGGAAACGCATTAAGGAGGTTAAAAGAAAAGCTCGCCCCGGTGAGTAGAAAACTTTTTAACTAAGTTCATTTTATGGTCGTTCTTTGATATTTTTCACATGATTACCGTTATAACACTATTTCATAGACATCATTCCTCCATTTAATTTGAATACATTAGTACATGGGTCTAAATATTAGCAAAGCATGACCTCGACAGTTCGGCACTGGGTAGTAACAGAACCAATTTTCTTTTATTATGTACTCTATACACTTTACAATTTACATACCAATGCCAAACTAATTTATTTCGTATAAGTGTCTACAAACAAACTAAAGAATAATTAAAAATTGCATGTCAATTTATAGATTTGTGAATCATAAAATATTGGCTAATGTTTATTATAACCTCCTACATTTCAACATTTTTATATTACGATCACATTATGTACAAAGAGCGATGTATGAATTATGTATATATTGTTTAAGAATGTTTGTAAATCAGTTGTCACTCTCATCACTCACACCTGGATCCTAATGAAAAGGACCTTGAAATATAAAACTCAAGTTCAATTATAGATTGTTCTGCTTAAAACTTCCCATGGGAATTCTTAGGTGTCATAATCTGTTGTAATACAAGAAGTATGGAATAAAAAGTTATGTATATCAGGCTAAAAATAATTAATCTTACATCTTATTGGTAGGACTCTTTCTTTCCTTAAGATTAGATATTGTAAATGAGTATATTATTTTTTCAGAATTAGCAGATAAGTATCAGTGGACAGCTTTAAAGTACGCAGGAAACTTTGAGGAATTTCTAAAATGTAATGATAATGTTGACAGAATAAGTGAGAATGAAGTGTCTCCTGAAGAATTTATACAGAGATATGAGAAAATATATAAACCTGTAGTTATAACGAATGTACAAACAAACTGGAAAGCAAATCACAAATGGACATTAGATAGACTTGCCAAAAAGTATCGTAACCAAAAATTCAAGTGCGGAGAAGACAATGAGGGTTATAGTGTTAAGATGAAAATGAAGTATTATGTAGAATACATGCGGACAACGACTGATGATAGTCCACTTTATATTTTTGATAGTAGTTTTGGGGAACATTTGAGAAGGAAGAAGCTTCTAGAAGATTATGAGGTTCCCAGATATTTTAGAGATGATTTGTTCAAATATTGCGGTGAAGAAAGAAGACCTCCATATCGTTGGTTTGTTATGGGACCCCAGCGTTCAGGGACTGGAATCCACATTGATCCATTAGGAACAAGTGCTTGGAATGCCTTGGTGTTCGGCCACAAGAGATGGTGTCTGTTTCCAACACAAACTCCAAGAGAACTCATTAAAGTGACAGGAGCAATGGGTGGAAAACAGAGGGATGAGGCAATTACATGGTTCAAACTCATTTATCCTAAAACTCAGATGGATTCTTGGCCAAAGGAATATAAACCGGTAATGTAATTTTACAGAAATGTAGTTTTACAATTGTGTATCTATTACACAATTAACTACAAATATAGACACAATCTTAATTGCCATGGGTATTAATTATCTCTATTGCTTTTTAAATTAGAAAGCTAATTATATTTAATTATTATTATTATTATACTTTTTAATTTTAGTTTTATCATATTGACATGTACTTTTTTACTTAGCTTACTTAACTCAAAATTTTTAAAAGAATAGTAATAAGGCCTTTGCCATAAGGCACTCTGTACTGCGGTATATGATATAGATAATGAAATTAATAATTAAACATAGAAAATTAAACTACTTAACGTATGTGCAAATAATAATAGTAAAAAAATATATATAATAATAATAAATTTATAGTAAATATAATAATATGAATGAACATGAATGTAACAAAAAAAAAAAAATAATGTTTAATAGTACAGAAATAAAGGCTTCTTTATGTTTATCTTAGTAAACTAAATAACTTTCTATTTTCTATTGAAAATATACTTAAATTGCTATTCCTTGTATGGAAGTGGAACTTCTTTTTTATAATTAACTACCTTGGTGGGCCAGTAGTAAAGCATACAGATTCTCATTCATTCAACAGTGCAAACATTCATATTCATGAGTATGATTGTTTTTATTTGTCTAGATGTTTTCTATGTTAATTATTGTTTGTCAATGGTTGCTTATTTACAGGTTGAAATACTTCAGAAGCCAGGCGAAACAGTATTCGTGCCAGGAGGCTGGTGGCATGTTGTTCTCAATCTGGATGACACTGTGGCTGTGACACAAAACTTTTGTAGTCGCACAAACTTCCCCGTAGTATGGCACAAGACCGTACGAGGGCGCCCTAAGTTGTCAAAGAAATGGATTAAAACCCTTGAAGCCAAAGAGTCTGATTTGTATAAAATTGCAAGTAGCATGGACCTATCTCAAACTACGGGTGTAGCTTCTGACAGTTCTTCCAACAGTAGCTCATCCAGCAGTGACAGTGAGAGCAGCTCCTCTGATAGCTCCAGTGAAGAGGACAGTGGTCAGGAAAGCATCTCGGCGCACAAAAAGAAGAAAAGAAGGAAAATGTGAGAACAAATCTCCATTTCATAGATAATTATAAACATGTGTACCAAGATTTATAATAAAAATGGATGATTCAATTTAATATAGTAAAACTGCCTCTTTTGTATTATTAGATATAAAAACTAATTTAAAATCATTTTTACAGTTGTTAAATTAGTGAAAACAATATTTCTTTTGTTATCTTACAACACAGTTCTTTGTGAAGAAATATAGTATTATTACGAACAAAATGTTTGTTTTCTTTTCGTAAATATATTGTTTCTGAATTTATGGATCCCCGCATTCTAGAATGGTGCGTTAAAAATAAATGGTGATTATATATAAATCAGTAAAAATATTATACTTGGTCTGTAATTTTTTTATACATATAATGCTAATCATGTCGCTTTGTAGAAATTGGTCCAAAACTTCTGCTAAAATATAACAACAATATGAAACGTTTGTATTGTATTATTATTTTAAACAAATCGATCGATTAAGAATTAATAAAGAAAATTCTCAACGATATTTTCAATTATGGCAATACTAACTTTAGTAAAATCTATTCTATATTCTTTATGGTTCGTAGTAGCCATTTGTTATCTTTCATAAAGTTCTAGTGAGATACTATCATACAAAATGTTGAAATCAGCGTCGGGTACATTAATTAACGTTTTCAAGCGATCCCTGCTCCCTGCGACCAGGGTCAGTGCAGTGATCCCGGCACGACTATCACACGACGGTCCAGTGGAATCCGACGAAGAGTTCGACTCCAGGTTAAGATTTTTACGTTATGTAACTGAAAATTGATAATAAATCTATTACCGGTTTACACCATATCCTTGTTTTCCGATTTAGTATAAAGAAAGGTGGAATTACTTCTATTTATGTTTTAATATATGCTGAAAATAGCATACTCTCATCTATCATACACAGATATCCTAGGTACCCTTATGCCTCGTGTACTCGGGCGATTCCTGGTTATCTTAGTTCTTGATTACTATTATAGATATCAAAACAATTATTTATAATACTGACCTAATATATTTTTTAATTTGTTCTTTAATCTAATTATATGCTGAGTATCGATTTTTCACTAGAACTATTACACTGGGTATATTAACCGATGTCCCTTTAATTAAATTCAGATATTGAAAAAAATAATCACATACTCTGTGCATATTTGAGTCTTTTCTATCCATCATAAAACTAACTGATTTCACGCGTACTGTTGTTTTCATTTGTATTTTATTGTTTTATATTTTAAGCAAAACTGTATTAATTAACTTAATATCAAACAAATTTAACGCAGGTGGTAAAATATTTTATTGATGTATAGAGAGGTGTATAAAGAAATGGTACTTCATTATTGACTAAGGTCAATACAGATTTTATAAATTCAGACAGGAATTAGTTTTGTTACAGTTTTTCATATAAATTGCGCACCAAACATGTAATTTACAACACACATTGAAATTGAGATGAAGTACTTAGGCTATTTAATTTTTTAAATAATTTTTATATAATTTTAAATAGTCTTGATTAATTTGTATCCAAGAGCTAGTAATAAAATAAATCATATAACAAGTAAATACTTGCACTTCATATAACAAGCAAATCATACGAAACAAATATTCCATATGATTTGCTGTCGTAATATATATCAATTGTTTTATAGTTTCTCTCTTGCTTTCCAGATATGAAGCATTCTTCAACAGAAAGGACATTGATGGTTGGGAAATCCGCAAAGGAATGAACGACCTTTGTGGTATGGATCTGGTACCCGACCCAAAGATCATCAAGTCCGCTCTGCATGCCTGCAGGCGGGTAAACGACTATGCGCTTGCTATTAGATTTATCGAAGCCTGCAAAGACAAATGCGGAGGCAAGGTGAATGAAATTTACCCATACCTCATCCAAGAAATCAAACCCACACTCACAGAGCTCGGCATTGATACACCCGAGGAACTTGGCTATGACAAACCAGAATTAGCTTTAGATAGTGTTTATGAAGTTTAAATTAGTTGAATGGATATCAAATGAAGCTGTAGAAAATTTGTATAATAGTTTTGTTGTCGACATTTATTTTACATTTAATTAATAATGTGAAGCAATCTTCAAGTATTCTTGGTCCACCATTCAATGCGACATGCTTTTGTTTATTGTATAAAATATTGGAGGAATAATATTGTTTTATTTATATGATATATTTTTTAAATGGATGATAATGGAATGTTGCACACATTTATGATAACGGTTTAGGCTGGCGGGCACCAGTGGAGGATAAGAGGATCATCAGTTATCCTAGTGTAACTGATTTGTTAAGAATTTATTATGATGGTTTCCAGGGGGAACCGCATAAAGAGCAACCTTATAAGGTAAATTGCTAGTGATGAGGTCAACATCCACATTACTATCGATACCCTTGACTCTTTAATGGGTGATACCATAATAGTGCACTCGCTTGCGCTAATGGTATACACTGGCCGGGCACTAGTGGAGGATGATAAGTGTGAGGTCAATCAATGAGCCGTAGTGACAAATCACCAGGGACTTATCACGATTTTGAAGAACCGCCTTGAGGTTAACCTGACGCTACAAGCCCCCATTACTAACAATTCTCTTCCCCCTCTATGTTGCTTATTTTTTATGCATTTATACATTGCGCAGATAAGCAATGTATTCCTATCAGCAAGTCACGGCAGCACATATTTTGTTATATCAGTAGAATAGAATAGAATAGAATAGAAAATCATTTATTCAAATAAAGTTACATTGAAGCACTTTTGAATAGTCATAACATTTTTTTTTCTAATCTACCGCTCATTCGGAATGCTGTCTCATCACAAGAAGAACAAGCAAGAAACTTGTGTGTTGCTCTTTTAAATAATGTATTCTTACTTACAATTTAAGTTTAAGTGTGTGAATACAAACCACCGATTAGCACTAATTCAATGAAATAATAAAATAGAAAAAACATTCAATATACGACAACTACAACAGTAGTGTTTAAACACAGATGTTTGCAAAATAAATTTCCTCAGCAAAGGACTGCATATGGAAAACGCTGATAACAAATCAAATCTAATACAGTGATATGATCTTTGGGCTTGTCATGTTAAATTCAAACGACCGAAGCACTGTTTCACTACCGTATATTCATAGATACATGTCTATGAATATACAATATTAGTTCGTTTCGATTGCAATATTTTAAAATATATAATGTTCTTTACATGTACAAAATAAGTCATAGTATTCAATATACATACACAATTATTTACCATGTCTGCTTAATACAAAACTGACAGCAGTTTTGGGGCAACACAAAATTAAAACAAGTTAAATTACCGTAAATACTTTAATGATTGCAATATTCACACATTCATACCATTATTTACAATCACAAATTGTACTCAACAAAATTGTGCTTTATAATTCTTACTATAAAGGATAAAACACAATGTTTCTCTTTGGTCAAATAAAATAAACATCAAAATAAAATAATGCACGTGTCAACCAACAAAACACAAATAATACTCGTTCCTTGTCTTTTCACTGAATAATTAGCATTTCGTATCATTACTCGCTCACTTTGTACTCTGCTATGACTTCTACCTTACGAGCTAGTTCCAAATATATCATAATTAATATTAACGTTTAACGCGAATTTCCAATTAAAAAATTGCCAATGGTAGACACTGGAACGACGCAAAACAGATCTAAAATGTCAGATTTCTATATTGTATAGATATATAGCTATAATTTCAAATTACATCTATACATATTAGTTTTTTTTTAAAACATTGATCCTAATTTCATAGTGTAATACAACCCTGCGCACGAAATTTCCTCCCCTCTTCTCATCAATATACCATACAATGGACTATTTAATTACACATAATAATTCATCTAGTTAGGTATATTACAAAACTTACACAGAGTACACAAATATGGTAAAATTTTATATTGAAATTTTTATTAACTTTCATTACTTAGTAGGTACTTTGTAAGACTAGAGTTGTAGAGTAAGTACTCTGTGCCTGACTAGAATACGTGGCAAGACTAACAAACATAATCCATTAAATAAATTAAACAAACAACAATTATCTCAACAAATTCTTAAATAAATAAAATTAAGGAATGTATAATCGTAATAAATATGCATGTAAAATTGCGAATAAACTACACTCTTCCAATTAAAACTTTCAATGTGAAAAAAAACTGGATTAAAAAAAAATAATAAAGTTCTTCTATACATCATTTTCGTCAGTGTATATTGCACAAATCTGTTTCCCTCATAACGATTTGTTTATTAAAAATAAATATTGATAAATAATTAGAATAATTTACTATTAACATAATGACCAGATTAGAGTGACATAAATAATTTATTATATAGCAAAACTGTATAGTATCCAGACTAAAATCACTCTGAAATCACTGAAAAGATCACTGGACATTTCACTATACGCCTAAAATTTAATTTATTTATCACCCCGCACATTCCGACAATACCGGTTGTAAGCGAGTGCTTGTAGCACTTGTCCCAAATTAATTAAACTATTGTATATAATTACACATTTTCCCAACGACTGACTTAATATTAAGTGTCAACTTTGCAAGTCCTATTACAATTAGATATCATTAACACCGATGTAAAACTATAAATAATATAAAACTGTACAAATTTTCGTTACCTTCAATAGTAGTTTTTGGGAAAATGTGTACTAAAGTTTGTGATTACACTGTGTGGTGTTTTGTACACTGTTTACGAGGCGGTTCCCTTCTGGTAGAAGCCGTCTACGAACGCGTCGTCGAGTATGTACCGCGGCAGTGTCGGGTGCGGGGGCTATGTCCTCTCCGCGAGGAGGTCGGGGCAGTCGGGCGAGGCCTCCGGTGGCGGGGACGTCGCCACCAAACTTAGCAGCTAGGAATCTGCCACCACGGCGTCCCGCTCCGCTTTTACTTGTTGCTGTTATAACAATTTTTTATCTATATTTTAATACATGAAGCAAAAGTTTGTACTCAAAAAAGTTTGTTACCAACATCGCGTGGACGCGTGGAGTATGAAATTTCGCACACTTACAGTTTAAATAGAAAATAAGTGCAAAATGTTTTTTTTTAATAATGCATATAAAGACATTATATAAAATAAAAAAAACTACACACATTACTATATATTTGACACATACACGCATATATACTATATTTATTTAAAACAGAAAACATGTGTATTAATTCACTGAAGAAACGATTCACAGAAGTATAAAACTGTGTTACTATTTTGTTAATTGATAAAATCTGGTCAAAATAACCCATAGCATACAATCTCCTACAAGTAATCTCTCTTTTTCTATATTCAACACAGTGGAGAGATTTAGAGTAATAAAAACTTGTAAAGTAAAATTTCGTTAAAACAGAAATTGCGGGAACATTATTTAAATTTGTAACTTTTTTTACTGTCTTTCTACCTTTTACACATCTTTCTGTTATTTCCCTATAGTTCTCTCTATATATTTTTTTTCTTACTTTCTATTTGAGGCTTTCTTTCTTTCAAATCAGATAATTATGTATTTATTTATATATAATATTTATATATCTATGTTTATATTTATACATATATTTATTATTATTTTTTATTGAAATTTATATTTAAAATATTTTGCTTTATATTTACATATCTTTTTTTTGACATTTCTCATTTATATTATATTAGTGCACGGCCAACAGTCTTTCTCTGCACCATTCATGGTTGACTGGTACATAACGCCGCATGGTGTTAAGTCCGCCATATGTACACATTGTTTTTGTGCATTAAAGTTAAATAAATAAATAAATTACAATACCATAGCCTTGGTGAGCACGGTGGCGTCTTTCAGACTGAGGACCTGCAACACCTGTGCTTCGCCGCCGCCTTGCAGCATCACCTGCGCCACTCCACCACCCATAGATATCGCTTCCAACGCTTCACCATTCTGTTCAACCTACAAACCGATCGTATTTCAGAATCTTGGTGATAAACTCTTCAAATATTCCGATAATACTTATAATCTGTTTTACTTCACTTAATTTTTCATTCATAAACATATTTAGATACTTACAGTATACAACTAATAAATTTCAAGCAAACAACAATAAGATCTCAAGCAATTCTTCTAAAACTAATACAATTAATATAAAAATTTCCAAAGAAAAGAGATAAAATAATAAAGCACACAAATATACACACCTTAGCATGCAGCTACGGTACACAAGCTGAAACTCAAATATAATTATGGGTTTTCAAACAGAAAAACAGAGTGCAGTCCGTACTATATTTGGTTTATTAAATATTAACAAATTATTTCTCGAATTGACCGAAAAAAGCAAAAATAAAACAAAACTACTTATCGTAAGTAAGCATAGATTTTAATAACTATAATATTGCTCAACAAGACTAGCACAGTACGGCCTAACTCATAAATACTCGTAATAAATAAAACATTTACAATAAAACACACCAAATAATAAAACATTCATTTATTGTCGCGTTACACGCGAAACATAGTCTCTGTGGCATGGACACAATTAAATGTCCGAGTAATTATTATAAAATGTTGTATGGATTCAATTTTATAGAGTTCATATTTGCTTGATAGTTTGTATTCATACAGTTCAACTTAATAATATAAAGTTAGAATTAAATTATTTAAAAGAGCAACACGCAAATTTCTTGCTCATTCTTCTTGCGATGTGACTATTCAAAAGTGTTAAAATGTAAATTAATTTTAATAAAATAAAGCCTCTATTCTTTTATCAGTTTTATTTGTAAAAATGCAAATATGAAAATATAATTGAATAAATACAAACCTTTAGAATAATTTTATATACATATCGTAATAACATATAATTGCAATTTTCTAAAATAAAAAATAATGCAACTATGATACAGCACAACACAAAAATATTAAGGAAGAAATCAAATTATATATATAATTGTATTAAATGCAACATAATAATAGTTAAATATGTTTGAAATAATATGCAACTTGGTACTAGACGGCGCTGTGTGAATTGTCCTGAGACATTATTATTTAAAAAATTAAAAAATAATATACGTAATTACCAATAAAAAAAAATGCCGGTCCCTATGTGAGAAATAAGATTTTCCAATGCGGTCTTCAACGTGTTAAAACACATATAATATAATGTTTGCTAGATACAAATCTTTGGTCTATCTCACAGAAGCCACTAATTGTGTCTTGTACTGTAATATATTATTATTAGAATCGATATCGAGACTGCTTTTAACGGGAAATATGTTATTTGTTATGCACATATTTCGTGTATTGACCGCTTTACTGCCGAAGATCGCGGCTTCGATTCCTCGCAAGGTACAAACATTCACGAGTATGATAGTTTGTATCCGTCTAAGTCTAATATTATGCATGTATTTACAAAATATATATATATAAGTATTATATTAGTTCTCTAGTACTCATAACACAAGCCCTGCTTACCTTAGGAGTAGATGGCACTGTGTCATAGTTCTGGGATATTATCATTATTATATACAATTGTGTTATTTTACTACTAATCTATTTCTTTCAAAAACAACTATAGCCACTTATAATTTGCAAAAATTTAATATCATCGAGTTCACTTCTTGTCTATGTTTGTTATGCTAATAGTAAGTATAGAAAGGTAAAGACAACAATGCAGTACAGTCTCATCATATCCCGAATAAATAAAAACTTCCTCCCAATTCATTCACTAACTATTATTTATAATTTAAAAACTCAAACACTTCTGGCATTGGCAATAATTATGCGATACGCATTTAGAACATCATATACATACTAACATATTACTGAAATAAATTGTTAACTCGACTTATAATAGTATTTTTTTGAAACTACACTTTAATGCTAAAACTTCAGAGTTGTTTTTCCAAAGTTTTAATCTATTTCGTGTCAATATATAATAGGATCGTCAACATTTAATATAACAAGCAACAAATAAAAATTGAATAACGGTACACAGCCAACAAAGAAAACGGCTAATTCACATGCACAACTAAAATCTATATATCTACACATACTAGCTAAGTGACTATATCTTTGACGAAGTCATGAACATAAACGAAAAATAAATAATTATTAAGAAATATTTGTTCATGTTTAAAATACCTCATGAAATATAATTTTCTTAGAATATTTTAAGCTAGGTAGTGCCCTATCAAATGGCCCGGAGGCGTGCATGTATGCACCGAGTAGGGCGAAATAGGTCGCCCTAACAACGAGATGGGGCCTGCTCTACACCATCTATAGGGCGGATCAATACCGCTAGAAGGTAAAATGCTAACGTGACCTTGCGACTCCGACAATGGTGCTCGTAGGTACACCGTGTGGTTTTTTTTAGTGGGTGATATAATCCCACACTCCCATCTTCTCTTCTTTTTCTTTCGAAGATTTTTCCATACGATAAAAAAGCTGGTTAAACATAATAATTTCGATCTCGGGAAACCCGCAGTAAGCCAGGTACCGAAAGTCTTTTCTGTATTACCATATTATGAATATTTCTTGGATTTCATTTATGAGTTACATCATCATGAATCATCATTTATTTACAGTAATAGTAATGTATTAACATTTAGCAACAACTCACAAAATAATACCTCTAGCTCTGAGTGTAACACACACATATATATAAATAGTTTATCTACTATAGACTCTGTAAATATGGCAATAACTGTGTACAATAAGCGTGTAAACACTAGAGATCTATTTGACATAAATTTATATGACTACAATACAAAAATATCACATTAGTTTCAATGACTTGTTGCAACTAACATAAATTCTTACATGGCACGTTTAAAACAAAATATACTTTAAATCTTTGGAACAGAACACAAAATAAAACTTAACTATTCTAGTTCAAACAACATGCATTGTAACTATAGCATAACTGACTTTAATGGTTTTAGTGGTAGATAAAATGTATTTATTTTTTTTTTTTTTACTAATGTTCTTAAAGTCAACATTAAAAAAGTATCTTTTGCTATTCGCGTCCAACAGGCGTTTTACTTTTTTATTACTTTTATACCTTGACTTATATACAATATTACGGTTTCTAGTTATATAAAATTTTAATATTACTAAAACAAAAAGGAGAAATTAAATGTGTTTTTAAAGTATCAGAGTTTGTTATTAACAATCTCCATTGTATCAACTATGAGACAATAGTATTTAAAATGCAGTCTCTATTAGAAATTATATTATTACAATTATTATATCTATACGTACAATTAGAAATATTTTTTAATTTACATATTTATTTTTATTGCGTTCACGATATTTCGTCAGTGTTTCAACCGTTATGATCACGGGTAAACTGAAGAGCAACGGGTAGATGGTAAACAAAATAATTTATGGGCAGACATATTCGTCTACCTTCACACGTTTTCCTTAGTTGCTACTATTGAAACTCGATTCTCATTTATCGTGATCATGGCGTTTAAAATACTGTCGAAATATCGGGAACTCAATAAAAAATAAATAAGAGGTGGTAAGATTCCGCGATTTTTCCTAATTGTACGTATAAATAATGAGCGCGTAAAAACAGTATTATTATTGTACCATTACAAGTTTTGGTATTTCCACTTTAAAATGGAGTCTATTGTTATTAAAATTAATAACCAAACCGAAGGCTAGTCCGTGTCAAATTAAGAACAGTATAATTATACATTATAAGTCTTGGTATAACAAAACTATCAAAAAAATAACGAAACTATAGTCAGTTATGCGATAGCGTGTCTGCGCAGTAGCGAGTGCGGGTGTGGACGGGGGTGGGGGTGGTGTCGGGGGCGGGGGCGGGGCCGCACCTGCACGAGGGGGGCGACGCACACTGCGTCCTGCTGCTGCATGGACGCCACCATCGACTGGTACACCGACGCCGACACCGGCACGGTGATCACGCCCGACACGGACACCGGGTAACCTGAAAATACACATTTTAAAATGTTCCTTTATGTATAATTAGTCGGAGATAAAGGTAGGCTTAGTATACAAGCCGCAAGAATATGAAACTTTTGTTCTACAACTTTCCCTGAAACCATATATTTTTTTTCGAGTAAAATGAGTAAAGTTCTTATTTCAACTATAGTATTTATTATAAGTTCTTATTTTGCCAAGCTCCTCCCAGAAGGCAGAAGTCTCCTGGAGGGAACTGCCTGGAGGTTATCTTGACATGGTACATAGCTAGCAATAGGATCAACAGTCCACACTGTTTCACACAATCCCTGGGGCCTCCAGGAGCCCCATTATTGTACCTATCATTATTTTAAAGCTTTTCGTATTTAGGTTTAGATGTTCTAGTAGTTAAATATCATTAGAAAGTATTACCGTGTCCATCCTCCCCGGTGAGTATAATCTGTCCGTCGTGATTGAGTGTGGCTTCAGCGACTGCGTTGAGGTCCACGGCCACCGCACCTTCACCGTCCAGCGCTTGTACCACGCCCGCTTCTCCGCTGTGGATCTACAAGAAACAGACAAACAAATGATTGTACATTAGACTTCAGTTTGGCCGATTAACACATTATGAGAGGGGCAGATATTTGTACCCGTTCCGAGGATTGCCACTTATAAGCGGGGCAGATGCTAGAACTCTTTGCCGTACATTGCCGTTTAAAAGCGGGAAGGTATTAGTACCTATTTAAAATAAGTAATTTTAAGAGACACAAGGGAAATACATATATATATATATATATACATATTTATTATTACGGGTACAAATACCTGCCCCGTTCATAATGTGTTAACAAAGTATAGTTCGCAAAAGCCCATAATGGCCGACAAATCTGTGCGAATAAAAAATCCATGTAAAAGTAAGATGAGTTAATTTAATAACATTACTATCTTGTATACGAATGGGATTGGTATGTAATAGAACGACTGTATTAAATAAATTATGTATGTATACAATGGAACACGCTGTATAGTATAGAAACCTACAAGTTTGTATTTCTCTGGTGCGGGGTGAGACTTACCACTTGCGCGGTGGTGCCGTCTGGCAGCGTGATGATGGGGTTGTTGGGGTCCACCTGTATGAGCGAGACCGTCCCGTCCGGATTGGTGATCGTTTGTAGAACGGCTGGCGCGTACTGCGACATCTATATATACGTACAACATCATTCATTAGTCGATTTCAAAATGTTATTCTATAAGTCAGTGTTCACAAAATCTCTTATTCACTATGAAAACAAGCGCAAAAAATTATCTACTATAAGGTAGATAAGGTAGAATATAGACTAATATAAGATAGAAGATCCAGTTTCTTAAATGTGTCGAGGTCATTTTGGGCTCGTGTCGTAGCTATATGCTCATTACTGTCATTCTACAATTTCAGTGATCTGTGCAAGATGAAAATTAATTAAATCACATTACAATATCAAAAATTCTAGTCTTCTACTGCATAGTTATCAAATAGCTATAATGTGTTTTTTTTTTAATTTTACATAAAAACTATATTTCTTGAATTTAAATTATTATAATTATATTTTTTGTTCGTTTATTAATAAATTTGAAGCAAATAAACACAGTACGAGATAACTCGTAGTTTACGTCCTAGAAAAAATCACAATCTACGAGTTATGTCATAGTTGCCAGTTAACGTTACTATATGTATGTATGGTCTATTTGTATGTTGTCGTACATCGACGTCGGCGAGCGTCATCTGGTCGATGCAGACTTGCTGCGACGACAGCACGGCCTGCTGGGCCGAGCGGGAGCCCGAGCTCGAGCCGGAGCCGGAGCCTGAGCCCGAGCCCGAGCCCCCCACTGAGGTCGCCGACGGCATGCATGCCGATATCTACGGTTAGTTACCCGATCCGAGCAGCAATCCCAGTGTGCACACGTGGACAAAACACATATCAGATGTAATAAATTATTGACACAAATATTATTATTATTATTATGAACACACGAAAAGAACCTATAGTTATTAATGGGTAATTAGTAAGTTTAGTTAAGTAGTTTCCTAATCGGTAATTTTTTTAAGAAAAACACATTTATAAAATCAAACACAATTAAAAATGGTAACTTTTATTTGATATACATATGTATAAGAGACTAGGTGTATACGTACATACATATAATTTAAAAACTGTAAGGTTCTTTAATAGCACGAATTTCACGCGGTTGTAACCAAAGCTAGTTTTATGGTAAATAAAGATATCTCCAGACGGATCAACTAGTGCAACCTACACTAGCGGTGATCACGAACTAACTGGAGTAACAGTGTTGTCAATATTGTTGTTGTATTACCATAAAATTATTCGTATTAGGACCCGGTTTACAACATAAAAATCAAATTTGCAATCGGTTCAGTAGTATAGGAGTACATCGCGGACAAACAACGTGACACGTAATTTTTATATATAAAGATTAAGGATTATTGTATACAGAACATTAATGTCTAATAAAAAATTGTGACAGACAACAACGAAATGTGTACATACGGGCTGTGTGGGTGGGCCCTTCTCGTCATCCTCGGTGAACGCTGGCAGCAGATCCTCACGGCCGTGATATTTGTAGCAGTTGATGACTATCTGCCGCAGCGCGTGCGTCCATGACATCTGTGTACAGAGTTATTTCATATTACAAATGCATTTTTTTATTCAGATAGCGCGGCTAAGGCAATTTGCTCACTGGTGACCCCTCGTCACCCTTCCGTCGCGAGGACGGTGTTTTGAAGATATTTCTACTGTACTATAAAAAAAGAAGATAAAGTAATTATAGACATTATCACCACAACCAAATCTCACTGGACATGGCTTTCGCACCTAAATCAGAATCTAATATGGCAACTAAGTCGTGAAACAATCGCAATCTCTCGAATATTTGGTCTGTGATCAGCGTTTCTATAATCAGAGAATAGGCCAGAATGAAAGTTTTTATTTCTGTCGGCTAGATTCGAACTACGACCGTGCATCCGAACTACGGCAATGTTAATATGTCCCGGGCAAAAGGTTTAGAATGCGGGAACAAACTTGTGAAAAATAAAATACCATCATCATGTGGATGAGTGGCGGTCCTCCATCATGTGTTTTTTCCAGAAACTTCCACGACAACTACCTTTGTCGTGGAAGTTTCTGGAAAAAACATGAATTCACCTTCCAACAATGGTATATCAGAACCGATACGATATTGAAACCTTCAAGAAAAGACCTTTATCCTTCTTAAAAGGTCGACAAAGCACTTGTAATTCCCCCGGTATTGCTCATGGGCGGCTATCTGTCGATGATCAATACAAACCAATTCAAACGGGGATCGAAATTATGACAGGCTGAACCGAACACCCAGCGGTGTCCTCAGACTGTTGTCGTATTCATCAGGCGGGAGTTGGCCTTCAGCCGCTCCATAAGTCCTTTCGCGGGTTTGGAGTGCCATCTGCACTCACCCCTTATAGCCCGGTGAAGCTTTTAAGGCCAGCTGCGGCTTTACAGCTTCACCGGACGATAGTGGGTACTCCTGTATTCAGACGCTTCATAAGTCTTTCAGCGGGTTTGGAGTGTCATCTGCACAAGCTGTAAAGGCCAGCTGTGGGCAATATCATTAGACTACAAACTCCGAAACAAGGAAATCACTTACAATAAATTGAGGCGACAGTTCATACGTCTCCTATGCTTTAAAAAGAATATTACCTTCTGCTTCTCGTCCTCTGAGCGCGCGTCCATGCGTACGTTGGCCCACGGCAAGTCCTTGGGCCACCAGGGCGGCCGCGTCGATTCACGGCCCCAGCCCGGTTTCCCACGAACTACGATCATGCATTCATACATTACATCATATTGTAAAACAATACAATGATACCCATTTTAAATATTCAGTACATATGTCAATATTTTCTTTACGGCCTCGATGGTCTAGCGGTTTAGCACACCGTTTCGCTTCGCGGGTTCGATTCCTTGCACGATGCAAATATTTGTATTCATGACTGTGATTGTTTGGTCTGGGTGTTTTTTATGTATATTAACACGTTGACACTTGCGTCTATAACCATCAAAGTAAAGTTCACTATGTGGCATGACGGCAATAGCCCTTTTAGATAATAAAACTTTTAGATTGAATTTTGTTTTCCACCTGTTACACGACTTGCAGCTTCAGTACGCACGTGGTTGCAAAGGGAGTAGTTCGACCGTGGTTTCTTTTGAATTATGTCAAAACTAAGTTTATTTAACCAGAAAAAGTAAATCTATACTTCTAATATTCTAAAACTTACGAAAATATATATGTAGTGTATGTTTTAGAACTTCACTTGTAACTTTCCTACTGTCCATCAATGTGTTAAGTATATATTTACAAAATAAATGTATCTAAGTATTTACACCAGTTCTCTAGTATCCATAACAGAAGACGTGTTTAACTCAGGACTAGAAGATGCGAATTGTCCCGGGTTATTGTTACAGGCCATTAAAATTTTAAGTCCCAGTCAATCATAGGTACATCATCACGTAATCAATAGTGTCACTCACCCATGGAGTACTTGAGCATGAGCGGTATGAAGGCGCGCAGCTGCGCCTGCGTCATCTTCTCGACGGGCGTAGGGATGCCGTCGATGATGAGCGGCGGCAGCTCGAACAGGGACGGGTCGTCCTGCGGCGGCGGCGGCGCCTGCGGGCAGCCGCCCAGCCCGAACTGACGCTCGTTATATATACTCCACTCGGACGTCGGGGGGGCGAGGGGGGCAGGGGGCGGGGGGGAGCAGGGGGGCGGGGGGAGACACGGGCCGCCTGCGGGCAGCCGCCCAGCCCGAACTGACGCTCGTTATATATACTCCACTCGGACGTCGGGGGGGCGAGGGGGGCAGGGGGCGGGGGGGAGCAGGGGGGCGGGGGGAGACACGGGCCGCCTGCGGGCAGCCGCCCAGCCCGAACTGACGCTCGTTATATATACTCCACTCGGACGTCGGGGGGGCGAGGGGGGCAGGGGGCGGGGGGGAGCAGGGGGGCGGGGGGAGACACGGGCCGCCTGCGGGCAGCCGCCCAGCCCGAACTGACGCTCGTTATATATACTCCACTCGGACGTCGGGGGGCGAGGGGGGCAGGGGGCGGGGGGGAGCAGGGGGGCGGGGGGAGACACGGGCCGCCTGCGGGCAGCCGCCCAGCCCGAACTGACGCTCGTTATATATACTCCACTCGGACGTCGGGGGGGCGAGGGGGGCAGGGGGCGGGGGGAGCAGGGGGGCGGGGGGAGACACGGGCCGCCTGCGGGCAGCCGCCCAGCCCGAACTGACGCTCGTTATATATACTCCACTCGGACGTCGGGGGGGCGAGGGGGGCAGGGGGCGGGGGGGAGCAGGGGGGCGGGGGGAGACACGGGCCGCCTGCGGGCAGCCGCCCAGCCCGAACTGACGCTTGTTATATATACTCCACTCGGACGTCGGGGGGGCGAGGGGGGCGGGGGCGGGGGGAGCAGGGGGGCGGGGGGAGACACGGGCCGCCTGCGGGCAGCCGCCCAGCCCGAACTGACGCTTGTTATATATACTCCACTCGGACGTCGGGGGGGCGAGGAAGACACGACGAAGGGGGGCGGGTGAGACATGTTCTCGGTCTCAAGGGTCAGACAAGTAGTGTCGTTTTTATTTCGGACTACTCTAATGCTGGTGCCGCAAGGGGCGAGTACAGATGGCTCTCTTAATCTCGCGGAAAGACTTATGAACGGTCGAAGGCCAACTCCCGCCTGACGGAGACGACATTATTCTACGTGCACCGCTAGGGCTTCGAACCTCGACTCAGGCGTCGTAATTTTGATCCCCGTTTAAATTGGACAGGTGACAATCAGACACCGTGACAGGGGGTGGGGATTCATATGCTGGGTTTTAAAGGTCAGATGGCATGCCAATTATAGCCGCCAAGTATAATGCCATATAGGCTGTGATTTGGTATGAGAATTGAGAGATGCAAGGCAATGAAATTACAGGGTCAGGAGGCGTGGCAGATCAGCCCTCGGGAATGGCAAAACATGAGCTCTACGGTAGCCTCGATATGGTAACACCATAGGGATACCATAGATGTTCAAGTGATGACATGAGGTAATAAGGTTGTATATGCCCCGCTGTTTGATTATGTACATCAATTGCTAACAATTCTAGTTTCTGTAATAGTTTGCTAGTTCCTTGCACAAATACAAACATTCGAGAATGTCTGTTTGTAGTGGCTTAGTTTGTTGGTTTTGCTGTTTTTACTTTATTTTAATACAATTAATTTATATATATTCATCAGTTACTTAGTAATCACAGTAGAAGTTCTGCATAGTCTGTTACTATTACAAATTAGAATAATTAACATCCGATTTATATAATCTAACAACATACCCCCAAAGGATTAAGGTAATTATGTTTTTAACACGTTAAAGACCGCATGCCCACCGGTGGGCTACTCCGCAACGAAAGTAAATTTACACGTTGGGACTGGGTGATCACCCGTGGGCACTTTAATTGAAATAAATAGGGGTTAAATTATTGTACAGTAAAAACATTAAAAAAATAATATACGTAATTAACAATAAATAAAATGCCGGTCCTTTGTGAGACCGGATATAAGATTTTTCAAAGCGATCTTCAACGTGTTAATTCCTCAAAAAAATTAACAATTTAAAGTAAATATAAAACAAAAATATTGCACCTACTCATTTGCCAATGCTAAGTTTATACAAAACTTATAATAAGAACGAGATGTTATAATTTTTAGTCCAAAAAGTAAACCAAAAATTAAAACATTCTTCTTCTGCATTCTATCTGTCCATCGAGTAACGTTTATCAAATCTGGTCTGGCGCGGTAATAGAAAAGCTCATGGATGGATGTTTGTTACTCTTTCACACAACTTTACAACAACACATCTTACACATCAGAATAACACACGCTATAAATATCCCGCGTATATAGCATTGGCAAACGAAGGTGTTCCTATGAGCCGGCTTACCTGCTGGGCGAGCGCGTTTTCCAGCTCCTCCATGATCATGCAGCGCAGGTTCCGGACCACGTCCTCCAGCGGCTTCGCGCCGAACACCCGGTACGAGGTGTTGGGCTTCCCCGGCGTGGCCACCAGCACCACCGCTTGTTGGCCCACGCGGGTAGCGAACTCTTCTATTGTTTGCTGTTCGAGAAATGTTAAAGACTGGTAAAAGCCGGCCTGTTGCGGAATAATACGACATTGTATGTTGAGACAATGTATATTACAGATGATAATGAACTGACAATTGTATAATAAAATATCTATGTGATATACTAAATAATAATAATAAAAATGTAATGTGTTTTTATCTTAGTGTATGATAATTTAATGGTGCACCAGTCTGCGCTAACGGTTTATGCTGGCGGGGCACCAGTAGAGGATCATAGGATGAACATGAAGTCAGGTTAGTAAGCCCATTGTAACAAATTTACAGGGAATTTATCACGATGGTTCCAGGGGGAACCGCGTGGAGGTCAACCTGACATTGTCCATTGCTGGCAATGAGAGAGAGATCATCAGTCCACATTACTAACAATCCCCTTTCCCCCAATGTTATGTGGTTAATTGGTATGACATCACGCTCATCCTAGAATCTTCCCATAATAATATCTCAGGACAATTCACACGGCACTATCTAGTCCCAAGCTAACAACAACTTGTGTTATGGGTACTAAGAACCACTGATATAAATATATAGATACTTTTTTTTTAAAAACATATTCAATAAACACCTAAATGATTTTTTTGTCAGCAGAACTTGTACTATATATAAAAAGTAAGTGATAAATATACATACATTTATTTTTTGATACAGAGAAGATACGCTGCTTGCATTGAACTAGCAGCTTATGAACACAAACATTTATATTAATGCGAGTACCGAACCCGCGACCACCAAATAAGTATATATTAAAATTTGTTAAATCGCTACACAATAAAGGTAATCTATTAAGAATACAATACAGCCGACTCTCACTCTTAATTTCCTGAGCAATCTGTTCTGGTGACGTTTTCTAACGGACGGGTTTGTTTCGAAGGAGTGTGGTCGCTTGCGTTTCTTGGACGACGCTATTGCGGCGGCCGCGGCCATGCCCACCGGTCCTGCGAACGTTGATTCTCATTAAATACAAATAGACATAATCTTAATATAATAATTAAACTTAATATAATAAATTTTTAGCTGTGATATTTTTTTATTCTGCCACTCATTCGGATTGCTGGCTCATCACAAGAATATTGAGCAAATTCTTGCATTAAATACAAATAGATATAATCATCATTCAAATAAACTTAATATAAGCACAATTGTGAATAGTCATATTTTTATTCTACCACTAATTTGGATTGCTGACTCATCACAAGAAGATTAAGCAAGAAACATCCTTGTTGCTCTTTTAAAACAATGTAGTTCAGAATTATATTTTAAATATTTTGTCTGAATAAAAACTGCATAATATCAAAATATGTATATGTAATTAAATAGTTACATGTGTAATGAAATAAATTAGTTATAGTTATTAACATAGCATTTACTGGACATTAATGCAACAAAACCAAAGCTTGTCAATGTTTTATTGATCCAACATTGAGGTACAGCTTTATGGACAGTCTATGCGAATACCTTCATCTCATCTGTATCGGCATATACTTTGGAATAACAATTTTTTTTATTACATTTCACACAGCGCCATCTAGACCCAAGTTAAGCTAGTAAGTAGCTTGTGTTATGGGTATTAGATAACTTATACAAATTCTCCACCCAGCGTAAACCTTTAGCGCAGGCAAGTGCACCATTCTATTACAAAAATCCATTAAAAAAAATATAGTTTACCAGCAGCGGCGAGCTGTTTGGTGACTTCATCGCTCATCGCGTTCTTGATGATGTCAGCGCTGTCATCATAGTTGGACCCGGCGGGTGATGAGGCGCAGTCGTCCTCATCATCGGACGCCCCGCTCAGCCCGCACCCATCCACTTGAGACATATCCTGCGAAGAGCTCTGACATTGTGATGGACCATTTAGTATTATTCCCACAAATAATACCTACTAGGTGAGAGGGAATTGTTAGTAATGGGGATCCGATGCTAGTAATGGTGTAGTTGTTACAATTTTATTATAGAATATTGTATTTTATTCTTAAAGAAATATACATTTTTTTTTCTTTTCTATCTGCAATCAGTCCAGGAACTACGAGCGATCTGCTCATAGTTTTGGATGTGGGAACTGAGAATGGTGTGTGCTCTCCAGCAGGAGGATCTGCTCCTTAAGAATACTGCAAAACATTACATAATATCGCTTCTTTTTAGTCGCCAGAGAGTAGCAAATAGTTTTTGTAATAATTGAGCAGCCAGTTTATAGGAGTGGGTAATATATGGTGAATATGACGGTAAATATGTAATTATAAAATAGATTCTTTTTTTTTATGAAAAAAATATTTCATATATCATACCTCCTCTGTCATGTCCATAGACTCGGTGCTGACGGCAGAATTCATGATGTGATATTCGTAGTCCTGGTCTTGATCGCGACGCCTCACCTCCAGGACCATTGGAGTACAAACTGAGGGTTAAAGCGTAACTTGCACGCCTATGTTAACACGCTCAGTTCTCTCCAATTAATGCCTGTGAATTAAAAATAAATTACATATATAAAACTGCAGACTAACCTTAATATAAAATACATAAATAACCTCGATTAAATAAATTCTCATAATCCCCTCGAATTGCTTATAAGAGTCAATGTAAAATATACCTTGCAAACAACTTCTTTATAACAATTTTTCAATTATAATAATTGTAAATACCTATAATTTAATTCTATATATCTCTATTCTATTCTATTCCATTCTTCTATTCTATTCTATTCTACTGACAGGTTCAGAGACAGACAACAAATTTTTAATTATAAAATAGTGTGAATATCTCTAATTTAGAAATATATAACATTCCTACCAATAATTGACTCTTAATAACATATTTATGATTCATGTTGCAACTGGTTGTAGTTTTTAAATAGAATATACATGAAGTGATATGATCAAAATGTGTTTTTATTTATTAGTAGATGTTGTTTGCTATAACAAGAGTATGTAATGTTGAGTTGTATAAAACTACAGTGCAACCTCAAAATAACAAAACTCATTTAACAAAATTACTTGACATATCAAGTAATTTTGTTGTTATTATCAAGTAAATATATATTTACATGTTCTCTTCAGATCTATTCTATCAAGGTTGCACTGCATATTGTATTTCTTTTTATATGATTTATAATAAACATTTGAAAATGTATTTATAATATGGCCCACATTTATTTACATATTCTGAAATAAATTCATAGAAAGTACAATGTTTACAAGTTACATATTAAGATATATCTGAAACTGCTTCTCTTTCTACCACTGATTCCTTATTTAGACTATTTATTTATTTCCTTTTGACAAAATTGCAACAGTAGGTTGTCACTCCATTCTCCCTAATGGAATTTAAAAGTGAATCTGTATTTTTTAATTAAGTACAAACTCATTTGAAAAGAATAAGAGCTTCTTGACAGTTCCTAGCTTGAAAGCACTCTGAACTTATGCTATTTTTGATTATATCATAAGTATAATAGACCTGCATGAATAAAGATATTTTGATTAGATTTTGCTGTAAAATATATTTCATAGCACCCTATGACATAATGAATATTTATCAGGTTTTTTGAATCAGCATCACTTGTACATAACCATTATATAATGTTCTTATAGGAAGTTCAGAAATTGATTATTACATGTTTAGTAAAACCCACCGCTGTCACCATGTAGTAAGATGTCAGATAATTCTTGAACTGATTTATTTTAATGAGCTACTTCTATAATCTAAAGCAGAGGTTCCCAATTTTTTTTGTGTCGTAGACCTCTTGCCATATTTTTCGATTTTGAGTAGACCCCAATTCCTACCTGATATTGATTTTTTTGTAAATTTCTAACTGTAGTACCCCTGGGAGTCGATATAGACCACTTTGGGAATCACTGATCTAAAGCAATACAAACCTTGCAATAAACCCATATCAATCAAAACCATATTATAAAATTATTACTACAACAAGTACTATATTACTACTAGAATATATTGAATATGCCTTTAAAATTTTATATTTCAATCCCCAATGGTTAGTTCATGCATTGCTAAGACAGTGAGTCACTTCTAAGTAAATACATATAAATTTCAATTCAATATCATAGCTGGAATTTCCAGTATAATCATTAAATTCATTTAAAATTCCTACATTGCATATATATATTACTACCCCATTATTATCAGACTATATTAAAGTTTGTTTACATAAAACATATAAGACTTGTCTTATACCCTTCCAAGATTAATAGTCCTATAGTACTATTAACAAACTAATATATATACATCAGAGGGTGACGGAAAACACTGGAGGAGGACTTTGTATCCAAAGACACACTGGACAGGACACCAGTGTGATCATTAAAATGTAAATGTGTTATTCTGTATAGTAAATAAAGGGTTGAAATTGAATTTTAATATATCATACCTTGCAGTTGAGTGCCTAAACATCAGTAACATTTGGGATGGTATAACGATGTTTCTGTCCTAGATAACCACATACATATACTATATCTTCTTGTCTTGTATACATTATATTACATACAATGTACATATATATAATTTAAATATATTTGGGTGTAAATATAATAAACAAATTGTAATACCATAATGCAATTTTCACATATCCAAAGATTAAATTATGTGTAATACACAAATTAACATATTTTAATTGAATTTTTGCTAACTATCATTAATCAAAACAGACATACTTGTAAATACAAATTTCTGTTAATGTAGGGAGACATTATTACAGAGTAGGCAAGTGTGCAATAGTAAATATTACATTAGCAAGATTGTTATGACTATCAATGTATCATACACTACAAAAATGTATAGACATTGTGAACTGATAGGGTGGCATTATTATAGGCAAACTTATGCATTAGATGTGTCACTAGTATTAACCATATTAAAAAAGGGGTCTAATAAGAAAAATTACAAGTTCAAAACTGACTGTTCATATGATAAAACAATAGGTAAAACAATTATTTAATCTAACTCTCAAGTACAGCTACATAATAAAAATATTGACTTCTATTAACAGTGAAGTTGGTTTGGGTAATTCTCTGATTGATATTTTCATTTTTCAGATTCATGTAGGTCACTAAGAAGGATATCTGTCTATGGTCTTATCTAATGCCAATTATATCATAAATAATACAGATTTGTTTTATTTGTTTAGATGTTTGGAATACAAATGGTATTTTAAAAATATAGTAATCTTAAAAAGTACAGATATAGGATTACTAATAATATATTCGTTCTTCTAAAGACTATCAAACAATATCCATTACTAAAGTAGACTTAAATATATTTTTGGGCCTAATAAGGTGAAACATTTTTCTTCTAACATAACTAAACCTACATAATAGGCGCGTACTTTGCTATTCTATTGTGTAGGCCGTGAGCCCAGAAAAATCAATAATCTAACATCCCACACAGATGCCATAAAACAAGCTACACCAAACTGGACAAAACCTTTGGGTTACGATCGCTATACCATCATGTAACTAGCACAGCTTGCAGTCGCTACATTGTTTTTCATTTCTATTTATTACATGCATTCCAGTTGCATGTGCAGTGACGCAATAATTTCGTAAGTTTTGATTGCATACAGTGCATGCTGGTTCACTGCGACGGCTCGGTCGGCTTCGAAGACAAATGACGCACTCTTTGCGGCGGCGTAAAGGATAAGCCCAAATGAATGGCCATCATGAAGGGGAGTCGCGTGTTCGAGCAGGCCCAGACAGACTAGAAAGACTACGGCTGCGTACGCACCTGCGTGATTTGAAACACATCTTGCGGCTTCAACTGAAGTCTTCTGAACTCGCAGTGATGTAACTGCTTCAAAACTACACTTTTTAAGACTTTCTCACTTAACCAGACACTATATTCACAAAAATCACCGACTGCACAAGGGACCCCGAAAAATCCGAATCCTCCATTAGTATCGATCGGTAAACGGGGAGCACGAATAGTACATACTTCATGGATACAAGGCGCCATTTTGTACGAGTCTGCGCGGTATGATTTTTCGCAAGGAAAGGGAAATTACCCCTCAGCCCGAGGGGGTACCGGAAAAATAAGCTTCTAAGTTTATTATGATATTATGAAAATGTTAAAAGGTTTGTACTTACCAATTTTCAATGTTAATGAAAATAACAAATTATCATGACGTACTGTGAACGTCCACGAAAAATTCAAGTTTATTTTGGAAAATATTGATCAATTGTCACGCAGTGGCGCTATCTATAAATATTTTCACGAACCATTTTTGACATTTTGCGATACGAATGTAAACAAATTTGTGTCAATTATTTATTGTTGATGAACTTATTTACCATAATTCCAAAAATATAACAATACAGTTGTTTGTCAGTGGCTCTATTTCTTGATTATTTATAAAGTGAGTACAAAACAAATATTATATTATTAATTTGCTATTTTTTATTCCTTATCAATAATATCATTCTTACAACTTAATAATATAATTATATTATTCTGTTGATTGATTGATTAATAATATTATTATATTTTTATTATTATTGTATTAATAATTTATAGACTGGATTCTTTTCAGACTTCTTATTGATATAGCGTATTTACTTCCCTTATTTAAATTAACTTTACAAACTTACAACTCAAATAAACAGTGTTAATAACATTTTATAATATTACAATCAACAAGGATACACCAATATGTGAACGATACTTGGGAGAGTATAAATATACTTTTTTTTTTATTTTTCGGTTTTGGATTGTAATTTTATCAAGTATAAAAATGATTGATGACTATTACGGTTGATTGTAGGTTATACATTTAACATCTCAGGCCTAACATTATTTAACTGTAATATTTTTGACCTCATCCAGTAAATCACTGTTCACTATATTAGTCACTAAATTACTCATTAAAGTCCAATTCTGTATATTAGTTTTTTTTTATCTTGTGGATGTAAGTAATAATCATTATTCAAATTAGTATAAAAAAAAGTCAGTGACTCGAAAGATTCAGCCATTCAAGAATCAGTCATTTAAGCGTGAAAAGGCAGAACAAACAGACACATATTTATATTTATAATAATAATATTTATAATAGATATAATTTATAATAGATGTGATCTATTATAAATTATATACCTATGTGATATGGCACTATGAATTTATTAATATTATTAATGAGGTAAGGAAAGAGGGGGAGGGGAAGACCAAGGTACAGTTACATCATGGAAATAGGAGTTGTGTTGTGTCAACATTTAAAAAGACTGATGGAAGATTGTGTAAAATGGCGTAATCTCACCGACAAGAGGATGACTCTTAAATTATGAATGAATGAATGAGATGTATGATGTAACCTATCAAATAATAACAATACTTGCCTATTGTTGAGATAATAAGAAAATATATATATCATAGTATATATTTCTATATAAATAAAAGGCAACATAATCTGAAATACTTTATTTCAATACCACATAGAGATCATGTTATATTATTATTGTGATGTTTAAAATGTTTATAATAAAAAGAATATTAAAATATAAATTTGATAAAACATTTTAATTATTGTTGGTTAATATACTAGTGAATATTCAGTCAGATAGTAAATATGAATTACCTGCAGTTAACAGGGAAATTTTAAGTAAATTTGATTGAGTTCATGAGTGATATACCACATTAGAAATCATCTAATATTCATTAGGGATGTGTAAAAGTAGTCCATTATGACAAAACTTATTATTATTATAATAAATTGATCTTCTAATAGATGTTAATATTACAATAAATTGATTGAGTGATAACCATTTTTTTTCATCTGATTTCTTTGTCCAAATAGTAAATACAAAATCCAGTGTTCGGAACATCCAAAAGATAAGATAAAATTAAGGTTATGGTAAAGTTATTAATTGTGCAAAAAATTATTTATTTATAACACTTTATTGTACAGTAAATAAGCTGGATATAATTCTCTTACGACTTATCCCAAATGAGGAATTAAATTATAATATAAATTTTATATAGAATATTACATCCCTAATATTAATATAACTGAAGTATTTCATCAACAAACATAATGGAAAACAAATGGACTTAATTTTTGTTTTTTTTTATTATTTATATTATTACTTAATAGGGAAGATTGTTCTTGTTCAGGAATAATTACTGGTTATCAGCTTTATCCTATACTATGACTGTATTATTATACCATTTCTATAAAAAATTAAAATTTAAAATGTATTTATTCATGTTCAGTTCCATTACAGACTCTTATGATATGTCAAATCTATCGTCAGTTCAGAATGATTTCGAGATGAGAAGAACTGACAAGAAACTCAGCTCGTATTCTTTTCAAATAAATGTTGTACTTATCTTGAAATTTTTGAAAATAAAATAGAATCTGTATTATTGTAAATACAGATTCATTTTTAAATTCAAATTTGGGAGAATAGAGTGATCACCAGTATATGCTATTTCTAAAGCAAATAGTGTAATCGGTGTTCGTAATCCAAACAGACCAGTCCCCCCACAAGCAGCACTCGTGCACGAGTATGATTAGAGGGACAACATTGACCCGATATAACAATACAGAGTCAGTAGCCTAGTTTAGACACTACTGCCCTGGACTGGGTATCAAATAGTTTTTGAGAAATACTTTCATTATATATGGAAATTGATAAAGCAACTTAGTTAAGTCCATTTTGTAACTGCTTTTTTTTGCACAATAATAATAATTATTACTGAAAGGTGAAAGAAATAAGACTTTTATAATCGCTTATATTATATTGCATTTTTTTTATAAACCTAAATGACAGAACTTACAATCTAAATGACTAATTATTATTTAATTTACATAAAATTAATATGTATAAAAATTATAATTATAATAATAAAATTAAGAAATCACATCATTACTTAGTATGTAAACAGTTCATTTATTTGTAACAATTGTATTCATCGCGGTCTGGGTTTACGTTCACTGGATTCTTCAGACGAGCCTGTCAATACAAATTTATATATTAAAACATTAATCATCTGTATATGAATAATCAGTTACCCAGGTCCATTCACACAGAATCTACACTAAATTACAAACTATACATCACATTTCAATGAGTAGTTACAAAAAAATGCTCGTATCATACGAGAATAGTACCCGCGACCATCAGAAGCTAGGTGCTAAACCGCTAATAGACCATTGAGGTCGTCAAAAGCATTAAAGTGTAGTGTAGTAAGTGAAATTACAAGATAAGAGGCATTTTAATCCTCTGAAGTGGCACAAGTGGCATCATATGTGTCACACGATAACATTTTTAGTGCTGTTCATGTATATATTAGAGACGGTTACCACTTGCCATCAGGTTGGTTGCAATTTTTTTGCCTACTCGTTCTGTCACCCACAGACTTGGCTTTATCCTATTATTTGGGGTCGGCGCAGTATGTCCTCTTCTTTCTCTAATATCTATCAGCTGTCGTATCTAGCCTAACCATATCATCTCATATATATATTATCTTTCACACAATCTATATATCTGTTTTTTGGACGTCCGTCTTCCATCCATTCTCTTTAAGACATCATTTGCTATAATCCATCTAACTTTTTTGGTCGTCCTGTCCCTTTTCATCCACTTACATGTTAAACAGTTTCTTTAAGACCTAATTTATTATTCCTGATAATAATACCATACGAGCGACGGCAGTTCCGCCCCCACCAGCCAGGCTCGCACTGGCAGACGCCGCCGACGCAGGTTCCATGCCAACACGGCCGGGTGCATTCACCACCACGCATCCCCACCTCGCAGTGGTCGCCCCCGAAGCCGATGGGGCACCGGCATTTGTTCACCCCTTTGCACCGACCCCCGTTCAAGCACGGGATCACACATTTTGCTAAAATTAAAACATTTATAATATTTATTGCACCAGATAAAAATATATATTTTTTATGTTAAAGTAGTAACATAGAATCATACGGTCCATCTGATGGTAAATGGTTACCGTAGCCTATGGACGCCTGAGACACCAGGGGTGTCACGTGCGTGTTGCCGACCCTCAAGAAACCTTAATATACCCTTTTTGAAAAACTCCAAGCTGGAGTATCGCGAGAAAACCTCGGCATGTAGTTCGTTCCACAATCTAAGTGTAAGCTGGAGGAAGCTCCTCTGAAACCGCACTGACCGAGACCACAAAGGTTTCAGCGTGTGGGGATGAATTTCCTGTCCATGGCGAGCGGTGCGATAAATAGACCATAAATAGATGGCGGTCTACAAATGTAATAGAATTAATGAATGCGGTGCCCTCAGACTGAAGTTGTATCCGTCTGTCAGGAGTTGGCCTTCAGCCGCTCCATAAGTCGAATAATCGAGGAAGAATAATTTTTAAAATAAAAACAATATCGTCGTTTTTTCGTTCTCCCTTTAAAGGAGAGGCAAGGAAAACTGTGCCCATACAGCCCCAACATCGTCATTATATGTTTGACGTTCTATTTTCAAAATATTTTATTTTTAAAAACAATAAAAGGCTATGTCCTTAATAAATATGCCTGTATGAGGTTATACATACTTACAGAATTCACACCTTAGCCCATAATATCCCTTTGTGCATTGGCAAGTGTCTTTCTGTATGCATTTGCCGCCATTCAAACATTTCTGTGAGCATATACCTGAAATAAATATGTTTAATTAGATGTATATTCTGTTTCAGGTTGAAGAATAATGGTTCGACCAACAGGTCTATTACAACAAGTCACCAAGGCGAATTTACCTTATTGGAAAAAGAATCCTCATGTAAGTGGTATAATTAACACCCTAACTTATGAATAATAATTATTATTTAACATCAAATGCAGATTTTGTGTCATCGGAACAGCAAGCAAGCTGATGGCCTATGTATTGGCAAGTTCGTTTCTACTCCGAAAAGCAGTATTTAAAACAGAGACGCACTATTCGGCTGCACCTGCGTTTTACATTACGCTTATGTGTGTTTATTGCTACAATGCATTTAGAAGTACGTCGTCAACAAGGTTATGTCGGTGTTCGGCCCATTAGGGTCTTTGAGTTGAAGCCAAGTCATTACTCGTTTTTCTATTGACGATATTAGAGAATAGCGGGATAAAGTGAGAATATTACAGAGTCTTCTGTATATTTCAATTTCACCTACTTCTGCCACTAGCAGTTTGCTTTGCAAGCTATGTTCCGGCATGTACCTAACATTGGACATACAAGCATAGTAACGTACTCCTCAGGAGTGGCTCAAGAATGGCTAATTATTTGCAGTTAGACAAAATGATCCGCGTAGACCACGCAGGCGAGCTAGGCGCGGATAGGATATACGCAGGCCAAATGGCTGTCCTAGGCTCCACAGCCGAAGGTCCCTTGATAAAGCATATGTGGGAGCAGGAGAAAAGACACCGAGAGAAGTTTGAGCAGCTTATCAACGACTACAGAGTACGGCCTACTGCGCTCACACCAATATGGAATATAGCTGGTTTTGTACTTGGGGCTGGTGAGTTATACAAATTATTCATTAAAAGTGTATTACTAAAACCATTAGATGTAATTAAAAATGCATTGGACCGAGTATAGATCCTTGTGGAACAACAATGCTTGAAACTCGTTAATTTTTTGTATTTTATTAAAGAAATTACTATTTTTTATTTAGCAAATTAATATACTTTCGGATTACAATGTATTTGAACTACTGAACATCAAAACTTTTTCGAATATAATAAATAAAAATAATAAAGGAAGTACATTTTTTACTTGTAGATTGGTACCTTGATAGCATAACAAACCGTTAATCAAATTTTGTTTGCCCCCTTAAATCAATCAACATTTCCTATTACTTGGAAGAATTTACGACTAAAATCCGTTCATCTCGTTATAATTTAAAATTATTAGTTAATTACAAACCTTTAACTGTATCTTTTGATGTAACTTTAGGTACAGCACTTCTAGGCAAAGAAGCTGCAATGGCATGCACGGTAGCAGTAGAAACAGTCATAGTCGACCATTACAACGACCAGCTTCGAACGCTTATGGAGGACCCCAACATAGATAAGGACATCCTTGATACCATCACAAAGTTCCGTGATGAGGAACAGGAGCACCACGACACTGGTATCGACCACGGGGCCGAGCAAGCGCCGTTTTATAAAGCTCTCACTGAAGTTATCAAAACGGGGTGCAAAGTGGCCATAGAGATTTCGAAACGAGTATAGACAATAATGTTCTCATAAGGGTCGGCAACGCACGTGATACCCCTAGTGTTTCAGGCGTCCATAGGCTACGGTAACCGTTTACCAACAGATGTGCTGTATGCTTGTTTGCCAATGTCGTAATATACAAAAGAAATGTTATGCATAATGAATATGTACTATATTTTGAGAATAAATTGTTAGTTATTTAATATTGGTTTTGTATGTTCCCCTCGATTCTCCTTCTCATTGAAAAGCTGACCGATATTATTCATGAGTTTGATTTGTGTGTAATGGGTCTGGATGTTTTATGTTATATTTACAAAAATAATGTATCTAAGTATATATATCAGCCGTCTCGTACTCATAACACAAGCTCTGCTTAAGGTGGGACTAGATAGCGCTATTTTAATTGTCCAGAGATATTATTATTATTATTTTGCTATTATATCTCAACATTCAAACTAAAACACGGATTGCAAAGCACGGTACTTATTGGGTAGTAGAGCAATCCCAATATATATAATTAAATTATAATTGTAATTAGTTCCAAAGATATGGCATCAATAAAAAAAGGACAGCAAAATATAATCCTTTCTTTAGATACATCAAAGAGTTCTTAACAGTACTTACGGGTGAAGTATCTATATAAATCTGATAATATCGACATACCTCCTTCACAATTCCGGCCCTGGTACCCCGGCGGGCACGAGCATACCCCTGGCGCAGTGCAGTTACCCCCATTCAAGCACTGGGGGTAACATAGCGCGGTCCGACAGTGCTGTCCCATATACCCATCAGGACATTGACATATTTTCTCATGATTGCAGCGACCTTGATTGGCGCACTTTTTGTCACATTCCGGGTCAGGTTCTGAAAATCGATATATTTAACAGATTTCAAAATAGATAGGTTCTTATTTTATTGGTTTAGGTGTTATTTTGCAGAAGACTGTTTCATTACTTAATATATTTATTATTATGCTATTAATATGTGTGAGACCACAGAAGAAAGAATTATGTAATTATTTACTGAAGTATAACCAATGTAATATTTTGCATGTCTTCACATAAGGCGGATTGTATGGAACTATATGTATCCACTTTATAATCACTGTGCACACCACATTCCTTGCAAAGTAAACAATTTAATTTCATTTCAAATATTCAGTGCAGAAACTGGACCACCTCTACTGGAAGCGTCACGACCTCATCTATTGGTGATCAATTCCCACCGTTACTAGTTTGCACTATGGGTGTACACTGCTGAACATTTGTGGTCTAACACATGCTAATAGTAGCGATATTAAATGAAATAATATAAATATATTAAGCAATAGTTCTTATTTCAATATTATGCAGTTTTATTTAACCAACAAACTCGTGATGGTGTACATATATTATGTTACGCCACACTACTTTACCAAATTTTGATGTTTTAGGTCGAAAGTGTTTGTGTACGCTTTAGAAATAGCTACTATATCAGCTGTGTCTGCCTTTGTCTAACCTGCTGATATAGACAAAGACAGAATACGCAATTACTTCAACTTACTCTCCAATTCTTCATGATATCGCTAAATCTATTTCATAATGTAAGAATTATTTAATCCCAGAAAGGTCCAGTAGTGGGTACAAAAATACCAGGTGTAATTAGGATTTTATTAGTCCATTAAATATAAAATTGATACAGTAAATCTGAATTGAGATTTAGTGTCAGTTAATTTGGGTCTTCCAAACTAATAATAAAACTATACAGTATCCACTGAGGAAAAATATGAAAATTTTATACTTCAATCATTTAGTGAGGACTCACAGAAGTCGCGAGTTCGAAGTCGATCGATTTCACATAATGTGCACCCATGTTATATAGATATATTCATCACAGTATATGTATTGATACATTATCACCTTTACAGTGTACTTTTTTATTTCTAAAATGGTAGGTTTCAACTTTTGCCGTAATTTGCATGTCATATATAATTAACTCCATATAGACTAGTAACAGTGGAAACAAATTATACAACCGATAAAGTTAGTCTATCTACCTTATTTGGACTTTTTGTCGTGAATATAGACAATTAATCAAATAGATTAAACAATAGTTTATTTACAAAAAGTCTAGATGAATTTATCATAGATAAGGGGACTTGTTTAAACGCAATATAGGTCGGTATTAGAAATTGACAAATGAATTGTGGTACCAGATTAAGGCTGCTGATATACAGTCGATTAGTTGTCAGTTTACCCAAATTCAATTACTCTATGTCAAGCATGATATAAAACCTAGACCGCACTGCAGTTACCACAGTCGTTAATGATCGCGTAATTGTTCTTAAACTCTATACTATTATTTTATTAACGGCTAAAAACCGTGATAAAGTAACAACCCTCAATTATGTAACAATATCAGTAACAATTTTAAAAACGCGTTCAAAATTACAATTCTTCCATTCAATGTAGGTGGACCATTTTGATAAATGGTCTACATTGAATTTATTTGAATTTGAACGTATAAATTAGCCCCAAATTACCACGCGTAAACGGTTAAAAAAATCGCAAACCCAGGATTTAAATTTATTATTATTTTAGATTTTAATTTACAATAGAAGATATAACAAATAACATCGTTACATAATTCGGCAACTGTAGTTTGCGTGCGACCACTTAAATAAAGTAACCGCAGACAGATTTTGATTTTGAAAACCGCAGGAGAAATATTGAGTGCGGCCTAAGTCTAAAGCAAGCAGAATGTAGTACAAACCTAAAAACGCAAATGCTGTGAGCAGAGGCACCGTGAGTTCAGCCAATCAGCGGACTCCGCGACAAGGCACCAGAAAAAACAATGCATTCGTGTTAATACGGCCTGAGTGGTATATGGTCAGGCTTGCAGTGAAATTATAAAAAAATCACCCACATGACTATGTTTAATAATAGCATATATTATTACAGTATATTTTCAAATACCGTGTGAACCGCCTCTTTTTTATGTTTTCTTCAAATTGAAACTAAGAAAATAACTAATGCAGATTTTAGTTCTAGAACAGTAACTAAGAACTGCTTTAGTTATTTTCTTTAGTTACATCTTGTAGATACAGCATACCACAATATATCTAAGTTTTGTTTTAGAACTTTCAGTATTACAATTTTTTTGCATCGCTCGCCATCCACCTGATATTCATTCTCACACCTTAAAACTTATGTGGTCACGCACAGTGGGATTTCAGAGGAATTTACCCTTGCGAACACTCAGATTGAGAAATAAACTACCAGCCGAGATTTCTCCTAAAAATTACAGTAGCTGTGTTTTTGAAAAAAACTGTATATTACGGCACTCCTATAATGTACGTTATTTATAATGTTAACCTCGTCTTAACATGAAGAATTTTATAATAAATAAAGGCATTTACCATTAATAACGTATATTTAATACGAAACTGAAAAAAAAACTCCTCAGGCTGAAATTTGTGGTACGAGGTACTAATTCGTAAAAACTGTACCTCTGACAAATACATATCTATGTATTTTTGTAATATTCATAAGATTAGTTCGAAACTATAGAAAAAAATAGTAATACATATATCAAATATTTATTAGATGCAAGTTTTTAAATAACTAAAAAAAAAAAAGTATTTTTATTCAAAATTTAGATATCAATTCGTATTCTAAGGTTTTTTGTTTCGTTCATTTTGTTATTCTAGGGTTAAAAAGAACACGTATTACAGGGAACTCGCTTGGCAACTACAATTCTAGACATCCAATCTGTTATATGTAACCAATCATAAATTCAAAAACAATGCACCAATAAAATATCTATTGCCGTATTGTTCAACGCCACACAAATCTACCGTGCGTACAAAGACTTAGTTTATTGTATGTTATGGCGGTTCACACCTTCATATGCAGCCGTATAGGTTATTAGTTAGCATAAAGCAAAATAAATTTGAGCTGGGACTAAATGCAATGTTTTAGTACCTCGCAAACGGCTTAGTGCGTCCGTTTGGCACAATTTATGGGCTAAAAAGCATGAAATGTTTAATTAATAAAGCGAAATAACTAATCCTGATTCTAATACACCATTAGAACGTTATAACCTTGGATATAGTCACTTTGCACATGAAATAATGATGAAAATAGAGTTTTTTTTTATTCTAATTCTTAGGTACATGAAAGGAATGATCTGCCCCGTCTTGTTGCAACATTTATAAAAAATAAAACATCTTATAAATATATTTTAACTATTAAAATATCGCCGTAATAAAAGAAGAATAATTATTATAACATTATTATTGTTTTAAAAATCGTTTAATTAGGATAGGCAAAGGACTTGGCCCAGGATCTTTAATTATTAGAATATGTTACTTTTACTTTAAAAAAATAAATGTTAAGGACCAAAATGTTCAATCGATAAAAGGGATTTATAAGATGTTTAAGGGAAAATATAATCATACTAAATACTTACATACTGAAAGTTTCATCACGGTGTATTAGAATTGTAACAAAGTAACACATTTTATTTGATTTATTTGTAGAAGTTAGGCAAAAATAATGAATTAATTTTGTATGACATATAGGCACGACAAACAGTTGAAAAAATAGACATTATGAAATTAGTCATCAAAATTAATTAGCATATAAAAATTCGTTAATGTGTTCATTAATTTTTGCCTTGCGTTTGTAATCTGGATAATAAAATAATTAATGTTAAAAATTAAGTAAAAGCACCACGCCTGTGTTTTTGAAAATAAGTAGCCTTTTTATGTATCATAAGTTCATAACAGAATAAATATATAAAGAATTTTCATTATTACTACGGTTTAACGAGTCATTAATACTTATAAAAATTAGCATAAAGGATCCATAGAGAAATAACCACGTTTCTTTTTAGTAGTGTAATCTGTGTAATCCGATTTTATTGCTTGTTTGGCTACATCAGGTACTTTATATATAAAAAATATTACTTCACTAAATATCAGAATTCAGGTAAAATACGTGGGATTTCCTGCCAGACAGGATTACATACTAAAAACCCTATTATCTCCGATTATGCAATCTTAGGGGAATTTGAATAACAGTTGGCTTTATACTCGACCCTCGTTGTTTGCGGTTCTCCGCTAGTGCACACTACTTATCGATTCTGTTATGTGGTTTTATACGACTCAGATTTTTTCCTGTACTAAAAACTCATCAATCAAATCATTCAATTTGGAAAACTACTAATTAAAATATAGTGATTACATGCTCATAGTTATTGATGATGTCATAGTGGTTATAAACTCAGTGGATGCTAGTAATTGATTTCAAATTTCGAATCATGTTAGTAGATAACAGCTATTGCCCATTAGATTGGCGCAATTAATAATTAAAACACGAAATTTGAAAATAGAATGCACAATATTATAATTATTGTTTATTCCTTAGCTACAGATGCAAAAACACAGGCGAGTAGTGTTAAAAATGCGTTGGCGATACAATACCTGTCCTCTCTAAATACACACCTCTCTGTGCGCATTCCTTCTTTAAACTTAACCTTAATGGGGTGCCTTTTAACGAGACATTATGAACAGTTTTGAGTTCGAGACTTATTCCGAATGTTGCTACGCCGCTGCTGTTGCCCATGCATGGCAAAAATATACTGAACTCTGGGGACAAAACTTCAGTCATAAATATCTTTTTTAATAAATACACGTATTGAAGACAAGTTTTCTATAACTATAAATATATATAATACATAAAATTCTCATGTTTGTTAACAAACTCCTCCGATACAGCTTTACCGATTTTTATGATTTTTGTGTGCATATCGGGTACGTCTGAGAATATCCGCCATCTATTTTTCATACCCTTCAATGATAAGGGTCATTCACCATAAATATGTTTATTATTTTTTTTATGATTCGGCATTAAAAAAACCTATAACCTTCTATCACCCTTTTACTATCAACCCCTATTTTTAATAGCGATTTTAATTTATATGCCAAAACGTTTGCAGGGTACGCTAGATCTTGTATAGAATAATATGTAGTCGCCCTGGCTTCACCCGGGTGTACATGTATTATTACAGAAATATTTATATATATAGTATAAATGTTTGTCTAGAAATACTCTATCTATTAAAAAAAACTGGCTAAAAACCGTTGCGTAGTTTTATGTCTAGTAATAATACTCTATCTATTAAAAAAAAAACTGGTTAAAAACCGTTGTGTAGTTTTAAAGATCTAAGCATACATAGAGACGGACAGACAGCGAAATCGACTTTGTTTTATAGTAGTTTTTACCTTTAGGCGTTTTAGGCACCCGTCCTTTAGTTTTAATTGAGAGAACGGGGGGCTTCAGTATTTTGAGATCTGATGAGGTGAGAGTATCGAAGTTGTACTCATATCTCTTCCTGGACTTCCACGTGAAGTTCACGTAGCCCACCTCCGAAGGTATCACGGGCAGCTTCAACGAGAAGTTCGGGTCCAAAATGTACGGTGATATATGACCGTTCAATATTGCGTATATTTGCATTGATATGCCTGTAAATGAAATGAAATGTATTTATTTGTATGAAATATGGTATAAATATTAAAAGAATGTCAGTATTAATAAAATTGTCCACATATTTCGCCATTGTTTTGGCATGCAAAAATTTTAGTACCTAATATACAAATTATACAATAGAATTAATGAATTTACATTTAAAATTGTATTATATGTCAAATATAGATAGATATGTAACATAAATTATTTGTATTTAGAAAATTATAAATATATATAATTTATATATATAAGTATCATAAAACATTTACAATTTCGTGTATTTATCCTAAAAAAGTTTGTGCCTTCTCCAACTTATTGTTACCAATTTCACATTTATGCCCATACGTTACGTTTCAGCCTCCTCTACCCTCTTGTCACCAATGTCACACTTACACCCATAACATGTGACGTAATTTATGGATGGGCCCTAATTGAGCTAATTTCAGCCTCCTCTAACCTATTGTCACCAATGTCAGACTTAGGGTCACATACTGTGTCACATTGTCACATGTCACACACATAATGTGTCACAATGCAAATAGAAATCTACATATTTCGCCTACACTACGTCATCAAGGAACAGGACATTATTGACTATATACGGACCAAAAGTAACCTGACATTGAGGGTGATGCAGCTGGAATCGAATCACAATGCGAGCTTCGAAGTATTCGTGGCGCTGGTACCAACTAACTTTTGTGAGACATAAATTTTCGATGAGCCTTAATTAAGCGTGAGATCGGAGACCATTGCCCATTTCTGGGACATAAATTAGGGTACAATAAATAATAATTACCACTGAACATGCGGACTTGCTGTTCATCAATCCACAGCGATATGTCGGAGTGTTGTCTGGCCTCAGGGTCCCTGTGGCCCCGGCGGCCGGCGCCTACCGTGAGCGACATAGCAAGAGCGACCCCAGCCACCAGCCTCGCGCCTGTCGATGCCGACCGCCACATACTTCAATTTTATATTTCTCGTCACTGTCCTGCAATGAATAGAATATAATAGAACAGAACAGAACAGAATAGAATAACATTTACTAGCTGACCCTCGCCACTTTGTCTGCGTCACACTTACTTGACATTTATCTTTATATTTCACCTAATTTACATAATATATTATGCATTATAGCGTTGTTTAGTATGATATTTCCTTTCTTCTATACTAAGATTATCGTAATAATAGATATTACTAGCTGTCCCGGCAAACGTTGTTTTGCCTTAAAATTAAAATAAAAATTTAGAGGTGGACTACCCCTAACATTTAGGGGGATGAAAAATAGATGTTGGCCGATTCTCAGACCTACTCAATACGCTCACAAATTTTCATGAGAATCGGTCAAGCCGTTTCGAGGAGTATGGGAACGAAAACTGTGACACGAGAATTTTATATATAAGATAAACGCGGAAGTTTGTAAGTGTGGATGGAGGGATATTTGTCACTCTTTCACATAAACTACTGAACGGATTTTAATGAAACCTTACAATAATATAGCTAATCATAATAACACAGTCTGTTAATTCCGAGCGGTTGAAAGCACGGATACAGCTAGTATTAAGTATTATGTTCACGCTATTCACTGTGCAAAATAATGAATTAACATAACAAATAACATAGGTACTTGGCTTATATCAGCAACAGCTGCATGCAAAATAATTTCTTGTTTTGTGAATTGTATTATTTGTGTTATTAAATAATTATCTTCAGAAAATTAAACATTTATAAACTTAAATATCTAAATATTGGAATTATTGTCACAGATAACTATTATAACTATATATTACACTCATAACAACATTCAGAACCCAACAGTACCTAAGAAACTTTTTTCTAATTGTGTAACAATCTAAGAATAATTAGAATGCCAAAACACTGTAATATTAAAAAAAACAGGCTACATAGGTGTATCAGACAGATCATCGAATGAACATATATATTGTGGTAAGTCTTTTTAATTACGCAAATGGTATTATACCGTAACTGCTTTAAAATCTCAACTTGGATTTATTCACGTAAGTTTCTTTTAAACTGTGTAACTTATATTTCATGCCTTTTTAAGAAAAAGGGTGTCCAACAATGACCGTGTAAATAGCTTATAATTTGTTGGTCAAACTTACAAAGCGCGTTTCAAACGGTACCAACAAAAAATGGGGGTGAAAAAATAGTATTATCAGAGTTAATTGATTGAGCGCTTATGGGACGTGCTTCCACACAGGTACAACCGTGAGAAAAGACTGTAGCGCGTAAAAAAGCGACAACTTCATTAAATATCCCCTGTCAAAAGTAATGTGTTCTTGTTTTTTTTTACTCGCTCCCGATGTCAAATTATACTTACGAAAGGTGTTAACAAAAAAGAAGACCAAGGGCAGGGATGCACAACTGTTTTGTCTATGAACAGATATGTTTCTTTTTTTTTTAAAATATAAGTAGCAATTATGCATTTTTTAATAGGCTCTACTTGAGAATAACAACATCGTGATTTTCAATAAAATTTTAAAGTTTAGACATCATTGGGATATCTTATCTATTACATTTTCTAACTTTTGCTACGGCTTCGGTGGTTTAGCGGTATAATACAACAATTTACTTCCGATGGTCATGGCTTCGATTCCTCGTATGGTACAAACATTTGTATTCGTGCGTAAGATTGTGTATCGGTCGGGGTTTTTTCTATGTACATATTTCCATAAAAATATCTGATTTTATTCATTATTTGTCTAGTACTCATTACACAATAACTTTTTAAACTAGATGGCGCTGTGTTAATTATTGAAGGATATTATTACAGGACATTTTAATTTAAGTAGATAATCGGGAAATTTCAACGAGAAACTGCATTTAAAATTATGATTACCCGTATTTTTGTACATATAGAAATAAATGTTTTTTAAATATCTCATGGACCAAGTGATCATCCATATACATATGTCATCCTTTACAGTTTACGCGTCAACCAATATTATATCATTTTTGTATTCAAGTTAAAAAAAAAACTATTAATACTCTGTGGTACTGTTGAGCTCATACGAATGCCTAAATTATAATTATCGTATTTTGTTATTATAACAATCATAGACTAAAAACAAACGCCCACGTCATGCACAATATGCTTAATTTTATTGTTATGTGTCAATAAATTAGTTTAAAGTTTACAAAGGTCATCAGATATTTTGTAGCACAGAGTATACAGTGGTTGGCGCTTAAATTTATCATACCTCTGCTTACGGAAACAAAATATGTGCGCTAAAACCATTTTCACGTGTATTTTTTTAAAGAAATATTAATTGAGAGAAAGGTCATTATAATATACTTGATCTTTGTTGGAATTTATACAAATATTAATCTATATAGCTTGTAATATACATATTATAGAGTGGTAGAGCGGATTTTGTTATAAGGAAAGTAAACTTTGGAACTACAACAGCACGACTGTTTAATTCACATAGTGAAATATAAGTCAATAATATATAAATTAATTCTATAAAGTCATATGCACATGCTCGCATCCCAATTCTTGAGATAGGTTACGATTAGCTCAGAATGATTGCTAGGAGAAACCAGCGTAGGTGCCATTTTGAAAACGTGACAACTAAATAGAGAATCTGTGAGAGTCAAACCAATATTACAAAATGTTTTTTTTTGGTGAAAATGGGTTAGCATAAAAATAACATGCATAATTAGGTACTCCAATCAATTTAATGATTTGAGGTGAAGGTTATTCACACATTTGTCAATAAACTAATTATTTTATCTACAAAGTTACGATTTCGTAGTTCGATTCAATATTGATTATTTTTCTCAGTATTTACTTTGCAAGCTGATTGAATTTAAGTAACAAGAAATAAAATATTTTTAACTATAAATACTGAAATAGGAATAATATATTTGCAAGCATTTATTTCCATAGATTCATTTTGAAGGTTCTGTTCGTAGCACTGTGAAATTGTGCAGACTATCCTTTTTTAGAAGTATCATAAACGCGAGGACAACTCTTATAAAACGTAGTGTGCTCTGTGGTTTTCGGGAATTCTAATTTTAAAAATATATTTTGAAAATATGAATTTACTAATTCCGATAATGGAAAGATCCCTAAAAGTTTTTAATATAATAATTTTTTCGGGTTTCAACCCATCTGGTCAGTGACAGTTTCGGCAGTCTAACAATGGTGTTGTTGTGGTGGCGATCTTTTCTGTTGAGATGATATGCTTACTAATAAATAATATGTATGTTTGCAGCAGAAGAATTGTATTGTCTTTTCTTATAATATTTTTTACACTAATGTCAATCAGTATTTGACAACTAAACTATTACAACTATATATTAAATCACAAATTAATAAGTAGGTCGTATATACTCGTAACAGGTGCCAAATCCATAGACATTAAGATCGTAGATACATAAGAGATCCTCGAAGTCTATAGACAAGTCGAGAAAAGCCGCGGGAAACTATACGAGAGGAAACGATTGGTAATAAATATTTAAGTATTTTATTAGACCATTGCAGAGGTGAATATATTATTTAATTTTATTACATTTTTACTTATTGGAGTACTTATGTTACATAAACAATGTAATTTGAGATAACCCCCAAATTAGTTATGATAAATATATTTCATAAATAGGTAAGTAGGTATGTTTGTTGTTTGGAATATTAATAACTATATTAGGCACTAGCTGTGCTCGCGACCTAGACTGCGTGGAATTTAACTTTATTTTTCTAAAATAAAAGAATTTTCCTAAACTTTATGTAGCCTAAGTTAAATCAGCTACCTGCCAATAACAGTCCCGTCAAAATCGGTCCAGCCATTTCAAAGATTAACTGGAACAAACAGACAAGATGACAGACAAAAATGGTAAAAATGTTATTTTGGTGTATGTACCCTATATTATATTCATATGTATGTAGTAAAAATGGTTATTTCAATATTACAAACAGACACTTCAATTCTATTTATATGTATAGATGTAGGTATAGATTATAAATGTTAGTCAGGTTAGATGCTTGGAGGATTACAATCTTATAAATTCAGTGTCACCTATAGAATGACCATTTATCGGCAGTTCATTGTTTTATGACGGAGTGGTCAACATGTTGACAGCAGGTTTAAATCGGCATCCAAAACTATCAAAATATTGTAAATCACTAACTAATTATGTAGGTACCTACTCCTTCGCTTCAGAAGTCACAGATTACATAAATATTAGGATACTGGTAGAGCTAACTGTACCATGGTACCAAATGGTATACATGACCATGGGTAACAAATATATCCAAACACCAGGCAATAAAAACAAACAAATATTATGAACTAATAAACAAATTAACGAATAATGCCTACATGGTTATTTTATATATATATGTGTGGTCGAAGTGCGAACGATAGGGCAATCGTGTCCTATCTAGTACTGCAGTTCTCTACTAGAACGTGTATCTAAAGGACAGGGAGATACTTTTACCTTTTATCTGGACAAGGAGAGACTTTTACCTTTTGTCTGGACAGGGAGAGCCTTTTACCTTTTGCCTGGACAGGGAGAAACTTTTACCTTTTGTCTGGACAGGGAGATACTTTTACCTTTTGCCTGGACAGGGAGAGACTTTTACCTTTTGCTTGGACAGGGAGAGACTTTTGCCTTTTGTCTGGACAGGGAGAGACTTGTACCTTTTGTCTGGACAGGGAGGGACTTTTACCTTTTGCCTAGACAGAGAGAAATTTTTACCTTTTGTCTGGACAGGGAGGGACTTTTACCTTTTGCCTGGACAGGGAGATACTTTTACCTTTTGCCTGAGCAGGGAGGGACATTTACCTTTTGCCTGGACAGGAAGATACTTTTACCTTTTGCCTGGGCAGGGAGGGACTTTTACCTTTTGCCTGGACAGGGAGATACTTTTATCTTTTGTCTGGACAGGGAGAGAAACTCGGGCGGTGAAGTCGAATGTTGACTTATGTACAACCTTATAACTCTTAGCTTATGTTAAGCTGTCTGCGAGTGAAAGTCTCGTCAGAATGGGTGCAGCCACTACACAGATTAGCAAGAACAAACAGGTAAACAGACAGGCAAAAAATGAATTAACTTCTTTAGATATTTTGTTTTTAATTTAGGGACTAACTATTAGGAACTTTTATACAGATTTTGTACATTTCTAATTTAGGCATTTTTCAGAAGATTCATATGAGAACGGGAAAAGTCGTGATCAGCTAGTAATAATGTATATGGGGAAGATAATGTTTTTAATGCAAATGTTACTTTGTGAGTTTCGCCTGACGGGGACATCCTGCGATAACGAGCAATGTGCGAATGACCCCATGTGCAGTTTGCAAATCTGTCGCCAAACTGTACTTACATAAGTACCTAGTATTTTATATATATACGAGCTGTACACGCGACTTCGTCCGCGTGGAATTTAACTTTATTTTTCTAAAATAAAAGTACCTAACTTGCTGCTTATTACATCAGCAATAATTTATTTATTTACCTGATGATTTATTTATGCTCACAATATTAATATTATAAACGTGAAACTTTGTACTCATTCACGCAAAAACTACTCAACTGATTTTGATGAAACTTTACAGTAATATAGCTTATACACCAGAATAACACATAGGCTATATTTTATATTGAAATGTATATACCGAAATGCAACGCGGGTGAAACCAGTTTGATTAAAAAGTTGAGTCAGTTAATTAACAAACGTTTTAACAAAATGTGTAGCACCTCTGACTTACTTGTTAAGCTAACCAGCCGCTCCGGGCCGATACGATACCCGTTCAAGAAACAGGTAACAGAGTAAAAAGTAAAAAAATAATGTCCGGCAACGGGCCGCGCCACCGCTGCTGTCCTGTAGCCCATCCCTACTTATTCGTGTACTAGACTTTTTTTAATCGTTTGTAACAAATCATTATTATTAAAATTGACACTGGCCATAAATTGTGTGATTTTTTAATTCAAATTATATCTATACATATAAATAAAATTGAAATGTCTGTTTGTAATATTGAAATAACAGTTTTTTAGTACATACATATGAATATAAATACGGTACGTACACCAAAATAACATTTTTTACAATTTTTATCTGTCTGTCTGTCTGTCTGTTTGTGTCTGTCTCTGTCTGTAGTAGTCAAGAGTAAACTTAGGCTACTTTTATTTTAGAAAAATAAAGTTAAATTCCACGCAGACAATGACGTGAGTACAACTAGTCCTATATGAAAGAGAAAGTTTTAGGTCAATTGTTCTAATCTCACATGTCACTTTAGCTATATATAAGTACCTAAGATAACTAATTTTCTAGTATTACATGCCGATGTTGAGCTGAAATCGTAATGAGTCATTAGTACTTACACTAATGTATACTATTTATATCTCATTAAAGGAAAACCTCATTTTACAATTGCAGACAATATACAACTGCAGATGTTTCATAGAATTTTAAAAATAGAAGCCATAGAGCAATTATTATTACTTTTTAATGTAGTTTTATTGGCGGAGTACGCCATTATGAAAATTAAAATAAAATTGAATATAAGGAACAAACTGTAATGCTTCTAAAAAGAATAACTTGCATAGTTTCAAACAATCTTTTTTAAGAAATATATGCATGTAACAAATCTCTCAAAATTAATATAGTTATGCAAAAAGTGCAATTTCAATGAAAATTTCATTCAAAAAATATTTTATACCTACGCGAATTTGATTGAAGCCTAAATAACAAAATGACATATGTTCTTTCTCTTTCTTTTACATGCTAATCATTACATACTTTGTATAAAAAGAAGCCTTTTCCGCTGTCTGTTCACTTAGGGCTTCTAAACTACGCAAGGGATTTTAGTGCAGTTCTTAGCAGTAGATATGAGTGATTCAAGACTTCAAGAAGAACATTAATGTATAATACATGAACCTACACCCGTACGAAGCCGGGGCGAGTAGGTAGTATTCTTTCGTATAAGAATACAAGCTCACAAACAGTTATCAATTAGTAAAGTGTTTCGTTTGAATCAATTACTAATTAGTAAAATACCTATTCCATTATAATACAACTAACATAAAATGGATGTTATTTTCACAAGGATAAAAATCCGGTTTTGTAATTGCAGTGTTCGCACCTTGACCTCGGCTGGATATTGGCCGAGACAAAGTTATTAATTATTTGGATGGGTTTACCGGGCCGGTGCAGCGTGCATTGTGCTTTCAACATTTGATCCCGGTGTTAGCCCCCTATTAATAACGCTGCTCTTGTTTACACGCGCGCCAGATACTATTGTTTACTTTCATCGTTCTTTTTAATCTTCCAACTTTTTTTATACCCATACGAGGACTTGTATGTATTATTGATTTTTTTTAATGTCTCTATCCAACTTTTTTTATACCCATACGAGGACTTGTATGTATTATTGATTTTTTTTAATGTCTCTAATAACTGTTACCAATCTCAACTTTTTTTATGACTAAGGAATACTTACTATACATTTATAATTAAATCAACTATCCAAAAGTGCTTAAGCAATGATAAAATCGATTTGGTTTAGCATCGATCAAACAATTAACTTGTTAAGTGGGATCAACGATCTGTTTACAGATAGCTGTTATCCCGCAAGAATTTCGCGACAGTGACAACTCGAAAACATAATTTATACGTACCCGTGAATAAGGTAATCCTTACACACACAAATAATTTTTAATTGAAGGCAAAGGACATGTGGCCACACTTTTATATCTCACTCACACTTCGCGAACGTCTTTTTACGTTTCAATATTATCAAACGATACGTGTCTGTATAGAAGTGCGGTTCAACGCAGACTGCCTACATTTGTGCTTTTGCTTTATCAACAAACTCACTATGCGTTTGCCAGTCACTAAATCAGAGGATTCTAATCCTTATTCCATTCTGATAAAGATTACCACATGATATAATATAATTTTCGGTAATACAAAATATCGTCATCCTGGACATCTCCTGGTTTATAGAAATGATATTTTTATATTGAATCAAAAGTATTGTAGGTAAAAAATATATATAATCACTTATAAGAAACAAAATTGTTGTATAAATAATAAATGATACCAACACAATTACAGAAAGCTTATTTCTGTTACGTATTCACAACTAACCGCCTTATTTATAAATATATATATAGCGATTTATATTCAATAATCCGTAGATGCAGAATTGCTTTCTCTGTCTACAACCGTTTACTAGTGACCATAATAAATATTCGTTAATGAGGAAGCGTAATTAAGACTAATTGAAAGATATACTCGGCCCGATCAGACCGAGGTTAATATGTTTAACCCCATAAATATTCTGAAATTGTTTTGTATCTATTAACAAGGTAATAAATCAAATATGATTATCTAACAGTATTCAAGTATATGTATTATACCTAACGATATACACGGCAGGACCCTCGTATTTATACATTATCTGTGTTAAATTTGTAGCCTGTGTTATTCTGATGTATAAGCTGTATTAATGTAAAGTTTTATCAAAATCCGCTGAGTAGTTTTTGCGTAAAAGAGTAACAAACAAACATCTATCTGTCTATACTCACAAACTCTCGCGTTTATAATATAAGTGATATTTTTACTAAGAAGAAAGATAAGATTTCTCCTGTTCTGATTCCTTCCCTTGAGTTTAGATCAGGGATTGTTGTTAACACGTTGAAGACCGCATTGAAAAACCATATTTCTCACATAGGGACCTGCATTTTTTTTATTGTTACTTACGTGTATTATTTTTTAAATACGTTTTTAGTGTACAATAAACTGAGGTAGACATTATTTAATCCCTACATTTATTTTAATTAAAGTGCTCCCGGGGGATCACCCAGTCCCGACGTGTAAATTTACTTTCGTTGCGGAGGCCACCACCGGTGGGCATGCGTATGGTCTTTAACGTATTAAAACATTTTATCTATATTCATGTTAAAGTGAAGAAATAAATAAATAAAATATGTATCAGTACATTAAAAATGGGCAGATCCATTTTTAATGTAGTTGTAATGACAAACAAGATCCCACCAGATGGAGTGGTAATCGTTGCCTCCATGGCGTTTTTCATTCATGAAGACTAAGCTGTAATGCCTCAGTGTGCCTCAGTGCTTCATAATTTTACTGCAGTAACCCACTTGACCCGATCCCTCATCCTATTCAAACGTGGATGGTTAGTAATGGCACAGATAACATAATATTACATACAGATACCCCATCCCATACAAGAAAATGGTTCCTTCCTAACTCGTGTGCTATTCCGGAGCTATTTTATTTGCCACCTAGCCGCTAGATCGCTATCTCAGTTCGGAACGTGGATTAGTAACAAAGCATGAAAATAGTTGGCAGTCAATTCAGTCTACATGACATCTGTTTTACAAAGATATGTATATAATAGATATGTAGGTAACTGTATCGTGTACCTCATTAGGGACGATTAGATTCAATGTAAATGTGTAGGTATAATATCGTTAGCCGACACTCTGCAAATACTATGTGCCAATGTATATACCTCTTATGTTATGGTTTATTTTACATTCCATGCCTATTTTTTTGATATGTTGTAACGCATGCTCACGGGCACTATACGTATAGCCTGATTTTGATACGTTTATCACACGTACGTATCAAAATGGATTTTTTATTTCAATCGTTATATGTATGAGACTGATTTTAGCTACAATTAATTTACTGGTATAACATGTATTCTACGATGTACCCCTGTTTTACCTAATATATTCCGCTATATCTTATATATAAATTTTTTGTATCACAGTGTTATCCATATTTCTGCAATTTTGATGAAATTTGATATGTATACTTGCCAGGTCTGAGGTAAGACGTTGTTCATCTATTTTTTATCTCGTCATGGAATACGAAAAAATTTTTTTTTGTATTATGGACAATTTTTTATTTATTTATCATGTTACATTGAAAATAAAATACACGCCTAGAGTTTTCACCCGTCTTTCAGCTAGTAACCCCTATTTTTAATAGCGATATTCTTATAAATATTTAAATTTAAAGATTAAACTCAGTATTCATTTTCACGCCAAAACTACTGAACTCATTTTTGAAATTCCATTGATAGATAATGTTTATTAAAATATTTTTAATGCAAAAAGTAAGGCAAAATGAAAGGCTATAGATAATGAATTTTTAGATTTAACAATATATAGCAACTAATAAGTTGATATAAAAAAACAACGTTATAATTTTTTAATTTTTATTTTCTTGATATATGAAAAAATATTCATCATGTATTGACGCAATGCATCCTTACAGTTAAAGTGCGAATACTGTAACTAGGTAAATTATTATAATTTTTGTAGCTCTGATGGTCGTGTGGAATGAGTTATAGCCTGAAATGTCCAGACATGTGGCGGCGTGGTGGGCCGGGTCAATGATTAACTTTTAATATAATATGGTCGAAGTGATGGCTTGCCATCCGTCATACTCGTGAACGAGTGCTGTTTTTGTAGTGTCCTGGTCTGCTCTTATTCACACGACTGATTGTATTTGACCCAAAAATTATTGTTGGTAGTTTGTTTTCAACGTTTCGACTTTATGTAAACTTAAAAATTATTTAAATACTGTTAACACACAATTTTCTTGCTTGTTCTTCTTGTGAAGACAGCTTTCCTACGAGTATAGATAAAAAACAAATTGTTATGACTATTCAAAAGTGCTTAAATTAAGTTTATTTGAATAAATGATTTTAAAATTCTATTCTATTCTATATGAGGATATCGTAATTTTTAACAAAAAGTCAGATCTTGTATAAATTAAGTGAACAGGGTATTCAGGTTTTTCATTATTAGAAATGTAACGGGTAACAATTTTTAAATTGTGTATATTACAATAAGATATTAATTGAAAATATTATAATGATGTCACTGGGACACTCATTGCCTTACTACTATATCGTCCGTTAGTCGCAAACTTTCTGGAAATATATAAGGCGCGCAATATATAATCGGCGCGGTTACCGTGCGTAGATATAACGAGTCTCACGGCGCCGCAAATAATTTTAGTATACATACGTCACAACATTAATTAAATGTTTTTATTACGAGTAATATTACTCTGTTATCTAAGCAAGTAATGTGTGCTTATTTTGAACTTGATCAACATTCTGAATTATTTTATATCTTTCAATACTTTATGGTATAAACCAGTTAAGTACTACTACCAGTATTGTTAGTGAGGGATAAAGTTGATGAACAAAAATAAAACAATATTCGTATTAAAAATATGTTATCTTTATTTTTGGCATTATTTTTGTTTCTTCCAAATACAAGTGTCTGATATTAGTTTTTACCTACATATAAAAGATACTTTTTGAAATGTATGTACCTACATTAAAATAAAATTTTTGAAATGTATGAGACGTATGAAAAAATGTTGTACTGACATAAAAAGTTCATTTTTGAAATGTATGAAATGTATGTACCTACATTAAAAGATAATTTTTGACATGTATGAAAAGTATGAAAGAAATGTATGTACCTACATTAAAAGATAATTTTTGACATGTATGAATGTATGAAATGTATGTACCTACATTAAAATATAATTTTTGAAATGTATAAGTAATGTATGTACCTACATTAAAAGATAATTTTTGACATGATGAAATGTATGTTCCTACATAAAAACATTTTTGAAATGTATGAAATGGTACCTACAATAAAAGATAATATATTTGACATGTATGAAATGTATGTACCTACATTAAAAATAATTTTTGAAATGTATGCACCGTACAATAACAATACACGTTAAACATGTATATACAGAGTCATACGCATGGTTAAAAACAAACTCTATGATATTTGAGAAAGGAAAATCAACTTTATGGTATTCGAGTTAGGGTCGATTTCTCTCTTTTTTTTAAATAAAATTTTAATATTACCAGTTGCCAGTATTCGAAGACAGCAACGATTCGTACTCGATATTTTAAATTATTATGTAATCGATTTTTCAGTACAAATGTAAATAACCAACGACACTAATAATGTGCTACTATATTCCGTTCTTTGAAACGGAACACTGCTATAATACAAAATAATGAAAATTTACTGTTCACAACGACTCATTAAAAGCATCATCGAATAACTGTAATAGTTATCGATTATTCAAAAAAATCGATAATACAAGTATTTATTTTTAATATGACAACACTTCATAATAAGTATTATTGGAAATAGTATTTTGCTTGTTGGCTATTTTTAATTTACATAAAAATTTTTTATATGTTTAATTTACAATAATAATATATTAAGTGCTTATTATTGGAAAATATAAAAAAGACATTTAATTAGGCCGATACAAATGACGACAATGCCATCTATGAAAGCATTTTGAAAACATAGAGCCCCATATTAGCACTGATTAAAGTGTAATTAAGTACTGGAAAATAACAAAATGAGTAAATATATGAAAATTACTTTTCTAAACGCATTATTTCATTTTAACATGTATATATAACTTTTTAAAAATTGATTAAACATTTTTGAAAACACAGATTTGTTTTTTAAAACGTTTGCAAAACTATGAAGAATTCCATCGATACCAATCACGCCATCTATATGCAACTTTTAGCAATAATAATGGCTACTTCCTCATTGAGTGCCACTGGTAATGGTACGTAATATTATATAATCTGTGGTAATGGCGCTTAGTGTCCCCATTGCTAGTAATGTACCATGTCAGGTTGACCTCCACGCGGTTCCTTCTGGAATCTATGGTGTGATATTCCTGGAGAATTTGCCATGATACACTAACTGACCTGACCTCATACTCATCTTATCATCATCC